AGCGCCCCCCCCCCGGGCTTCCCCCTCCTACAAGGTATTTTGGGTCCGCCGGGCGAAAAAGGGGGGCCCCCACTTGGGGAAGCCAAGCCCTACCCCCAATTACGACGAACCCCCTCCACAGAGGGTAGTGTTAACCCGTAAATTGCCGGGCGTGCCCCCTTTGGGGAAAGGCCAAAATTACCCCGCGACGCTTTTCCCCCCCCCCTTAAACAGAGGAAGGAATTTAGCGGTGCCATCCCGGGTTTAAGACCCCCAATTATGGGGGGGGAAATCCCCCAAAAGCGCGCCCCCCCACGGGGTTGGGTGGGTTGGGGGTTTTTTGGGGGGGGGGGGTTGTGGGGGGGGTGGGGGGCGGGGGGTTTGTTGGGGTGTTGGTCTTTTTTTTGGGTTTTGGGGTTCCAAAGGGGGTTGGGGGGGTCCCCTTCCTTTGGGTTGTTTTGGTGGCCAGGTTTTGCCCAACCCTTTGGCCCCTTTTTTGGGTGGGTGTTGTGGGGGCCAAAGGCCCAAAACCCGCAAAAGGCAAAAAGGGGAGGGCACAAAAAACCGGGGGCATACCAGGAAATAATCCCAGAGGTTGGCTAAGCTTTTTTCCCCACTCATCCCCTTCCCGAATACGCACCAGGTTGGTAGGCACTCCTGAGTTCTAATTTGGTGAAAAAAACAGGCCCCATGCATTGACTCAATCACTGAAGGAATGAGGGGAAGAGGATAACTAAATCACACCGTCACCTTATTCAGTGGTCGATAATCAATGCACGGGCGTAAACCGCCATCTTTCTTCTTCACAAAGAAGAAACTCGAGGAAGCAGGTGAAGTGGAGGGACGTATATACCCATGGCTCAGGGACTCGGTGACGTATGTTTCCATAGCCTCCATTTAAGCCTGCGACAGGGGATACACATGACTCCTGGGAGGTACAGCGTCTACCTGAAGGTTTATCGCGCAATCCCCCTCCCGATGAGGTGGTAATTTAGTCGCTTGCGTCTTGGAAAACGCGAGCGCCAGATCATGGTATTCGGGGGGAGCTACTCGCTGTCACAATGAAACAATCACTCACAAAGACAAGGGGAACAGAGGGAACACTTATACACATACTAATTAGGGGAATGAGCACCAGTAAGTGTGATTGACAAGACAAGACATGACAAGTGGAGTGATGAGAATGGGATCGGCAGTAGTTAGTAAGCCGGTGACGACGAATGCCGAAACCTGCCCGAACAAGGAGGGGAGGCAGCCTCTGCGGAAGTCGTGACACGTGAGCAGCTGATTGCTAACCAAAAGGTTGACATTAGCCTGGCTAAATGTTTATCTAGTGTTGTCTCAGAGGAGAAGCTAAAAAATAAAAACATGGCAAACTTCATTGATGGTAATCTCCTCACGCGTAAATGGACATCCCAAGGTGGCGCTGGCGGAGATTGGAATGCTGTTTGCCAAATAGTGATTCCTACAGCCTTCCGACTAAATGTTTTATCCCTCGCTCATGATCACCAGTGGTCCGGACATCTGGGAGTCACCAAGACTTATGATCGGGTTTTGCGACATTTCTTTTGGCCCGGTTTAAAACAAGATGTTTCAGGTAGCTGGGAAACCGAACCGGGTTATTCCTCCCGCTCCTCTTTGTCCCATACCTAAAAATAAAATAAATAAATTGGTCATTTAGCAGACGCTCTTATCCAGAGCGACTTACAGGAGCAATTAGGGTGAAGTGCCTTGCTCAAGGGCACATCGACAGATTTTTCACCTAGTCGGCTCGGGGATTAGAACCAGCGACCTTTCGGTTACTGGCACAACGCTCTTAACCACTAAGCTACCTGCCGCCCCATGTGAGTATTGCGCATACCTGTCATAGGTGAACCATTCGAACATGTGATGGTTGATTGTGTTGGACCAATACCGAAGACAAAATCTGGTAACCAGTTTCTGTTGACGATTATGTGTGTGGCCACCAGATACCCAGAGGCCATTCCTCTGCAAAGGATTACTGCTTCGGTGGTGAGTAAAGCTTTGATCAAATTCTTCTCAACTTTTGGGTTACCTAAGGTGGTACAAACTGATCATGGTACGAATTTCCTTTCTAAGCTTTTCAAACAGGTGTTAAAATCCTTGTCAGTTACACACCGTGTGTCAAGCGCATATCACCCAGAGTCTCAGGGTGCGCTTGAACGTTGGCATCAGACACTGAAGTCTATGCTCCGTAAATATTGTTTGGAATCTGAGAAGGATTGGGATGAGGGAGTTCCTCTAGTTTTGTTTGCTGTCCGTGAGACGATACAGGAATCCCTAGGGTTCAGCCCAGCTGAACTGGAGTTTGAACACACAGTGAGAGGACCTATGAAAGTCCTTAAGGATCCGTTTGTATCACAAGAGTTGTGTGCGAAAGAAAATGTGTTGGACTACGTTAGTCGCTTTCGTGAGCGCCTACATGGTGCCTGTGCTCTGGTAAAGGAAGCGCTGTCTTCCTCACAGAGACGTATGAAACGGCACTATGACAACCAGGCTGTTTGTCGTTCGCTGCAGCCAGGTGACCACTTTCTTGTATTATTGCCTGTACCAGGAGCGTCATTGTCAGCACGTTTCTCTGGTCCTTATGTAATTGAAAAGAAACTAAGTGAAACTGATTATGTGATACAGACTCCTGATAGAAAACGCCAATTTCGTGTGTGCCACATTAACATGTTGAAGATATACCACACCAGACCCGTCACCCAGATAGACAGTCCAGAGAAACTGGCCAAGACGGCTGTCTCTATTGCTGCTGCGGCTGTAGTGGGAGGTCATGTTAATGATGTGGACGGAGATGGTTTGGAGTTGCGCAATACTCAGCAGCAGTGTGCTAGATTGCCCAATTCAGAGATGCTGCTGTCTCTCCCGTCAAGCCTGATTCATTTAACGGACGGAAAGACAGATGATATTGTGAGGCTATTACACAGCTTTCCATTTATTTTTAATGATGTTCCTAGACGTAGAAATGTGTTAGAACATGATATTAATGTTGGAAACGCTGCACCTAACAAGCAACATGCTTATCGTGTCAACGTCTCTAAAACATAATGAGGGATGAGTTCAAGTCCTTGGAGTTCTCTGTGCATTCTGGTTCCCAAACCTGATGGGACATCCAGGTTATGTACGGACTATCGAAAGGTAAATTCTGTCACAGTGCCCGACTCGTTCCCGCTACCCAGACTGGATGACTGTATTGACACTGTGGGTGCTGCTACTTATGCAACCAAACTAGATCTTCTAAAAGGTTACTGGCAGGTGCCGTTAACCTCACGTGCCTCCGACATCTCTGCCTTTGTGACCCCAGACCACTTCCTACAATATGCTGTCATGGCATTTGGGATGCGGAACGCACCAGCCACTTTACAACGCCTGGTTAACACAGTATTGGCTTGAGTTCCTAATTGTAGTGCCTACCTTGATGATCTGGTAATTTATTCAACTGAGTGGTCAGATCATATTAACACTCTAAGGGTAGTGTGTGAACGTCTAGCAGCCGCTTCTCTAACCCTGAACTTAGCAAAGTGCGAGTTTGGGAAGGCCACTGTTCCTTATCTCGGCAAACAGGTCAGCCATGGTCAGGTGTGCCCTGTTGAAGCCAAGGTCTCAGCTGTAACTGCATTTCCCGCACCTACCACCAGAAGAGAGCTACGCCGCTTTTAGGGATGGTTGGCTACTACCGTAGTTTCTGTAAAAATGTATCTGCGGTAGTTGCTCCATTAACGGATTTGCTCAGTCCGGCGATAAAATTTGTATGGTCTGCGGATTGTCACACTGCTTTAAACACTGCCAAAGCACTCTTATCTAGTACCCCTGTTCTTGCTGCTCCAGATTTTGAACGGCCGTTTAAACTTGAGGTCCTCGTCAACACTTTCACCCGTGTTAACGAGAGAATCACTGACATCATGTCAGCTGGTCCTTTTGTGGCAGGGCTGAAATGCAGTGGAAATGTTTTTTGGGGGATTAAGTTCATTTTCATGGCAAATAGGGACTTTGCAATTAATTGCAATTCATCTGATCACTCTTCATAACATTCTGGAGTATATGCAAATTGCCATCATAAAAACTGAGGCAGCAGACTTTGTGAAAATTAAAAATATTTGTGTCATTATCAAAACTTTTGACCACGACTGTAGGTAGGACTTCACTGGCCTCACACTCCAGTAAAGTAGGTGGCGCTATATGCGATCCGCCAACCCAATCCCAAAGAAGAAGAAACCGCCACGGCCATTCGCTCTTTTACTGAAGTGTGTCCAGTCAGGTCCGCAAACTAAAATCTGGCCCTGTACACGCCTGCGTGGCGAGAGAGAAGAAAATTACCAACAACAGTATATTTAATCCGATCACACACGAAATGGCGTCAGCAGCAGGTAAGGATGGTGAAACCTTTTTAATTAGTTTACCAAGCTAGCTATCAGATTTTAGATATTTTTGAAGTAGGTAAGTATGTCCAGTGCGAACAATTTAGGTAGCTAACGGTAGCTGTCTACTTCACTCCGTTTTTGTGGGGGACGGGTTCGTTCGCTAGCTAACTATGGTGGCTAACTACTGCATTTTGGAATGAACTGTTGAAACACCGAATCTATTATTGTTGTTGGGAGTTATTATGCATCTCATACAACTAGCTCATAGTTATCGTCCAATGGCTATGTGCCGGTAGTTAGCGAACGTTAGCTACCAAATTATTGCTAAATCTAGCTAGCTAGCCTTTTCGTGAATAACCTGCGGGCTAGCGTAGAATAGGCGGGCATTGAAAAGCGAACTGCTAAAGCCATTTCTTGAATTGAGTTTTGCTAACGTTACCAGCTAGAAGCTAGCCAGGTGTTTGAGACTGCTTTGCCACAAACAAAGTTCATAATCATCATATTGACATGGTAAAGAATCAAATAAACACACAGCATCATGCCTTTACGATAACCTTAGAATCAGATGTGAAACATTCCTCAGGCCAGGGGCTATAGTGTATTTTTGCTTATTTATTCGTTTTTTTGTGTGCAGACTACAGCGCCTATGGCCAGGCGGGAGGCCAACAGGGGTAAGTGTATTCTTGCACTGAAAAACAAATATAAATAATTTGAACTGTTTATCTCATTGACAGCAGCCCCAAACATTGACATGTCAAAGTGTAAAAGCCTTGGTTTCTTGCATGTTAACATCAGAAGCCTCCTCCTTAAGTTTGAGTTATTCACTGCGTTAGCACACTCCGCCAACCCTGATGTTCTAGCAGTGTCTGAATCCTGGCTTAGGAAGGCCACCAGAAATGTCCATCCCCAACGACAACATTTTCCATCTAGATAGAACTGCCAAAGGGGGCGGTGTTGCAATCTACTGTAGAGATGCAGAGCTCTATCATACTATCCAGGTCTGTGCCCAAACAGTTTGAGCTTCTACTTCAAAAAATTCACCTTTCCAGAAATAAGTCTCTCACTGTTGCTGCTTGCTACAGCCCCCCCTCAGCCCCCCTGGAGACCATATGTGAATTGATTGCCCCCATCTATCCTCAGAATTCGTACTGCTTGGTGACCTAAACTGGGATATGCTTAACACCCCGGGCATCCTACAATCTAAACTAGATGCACTCAATCTCACACAAAACCTCATCACTGTCAAACGCTCCCTAAAACACTTTAGCGAGCAGGCCTTTCTAATTGACCTGGCCCGGGTATACTGGATGGATATTGACCTCATTCTGTCAGTAAAGGATGCCTGGTTGTTCTTTTAAAAGTGCTAAATAAGCATGCCCCATTCAAAAAATTCAGAACTAAGAACAGATATAGCCCCTGGTTCACCCCAGACTTGACTGCCCTTGACCAGCACAAAAACATCCTGTGGCGTACTGCATTAGCATCGAACAGCACCCGCGATATGCTACTTTTCAGGGAAGTCAGGAACCAATATACACAATCAGTTAGGAAAGCAAAGGCTAGCTTTTTCAAACAGAAATTTGCATCCTGTAGCACTAACTCCAAAAAGTTTTGGGACACTGTAAAGTCCATGGAGAATAAGAGCACCTCCTCCCAGCTGCCCACTGCACTGAGGCTAGGAAACACTGTCACCACCGATAAATCTACGATAATCGAGAAGTTCAACAAGCATTTTGCTACGGCTGGCCATGCTTTCCACCTGGCTACCCCTACCCCGGCCACCAGCTCTGCACCCTCCGCTGCAAATTGCCCATGCTCCCCCCGCTTCTCCTTCACCCAAATTCAGACAGCTGATGTTCTGAAAGAGCTGTAAAATCTGGACCCCTACAAATCACCTGGGCTAGACAATCTGGACCCTTTCTTTCTTTCTAAAATTAGCCGCCGAAATTGTCGCAACCCCAATTACTAGCCTGTTCAACCTCTCTTTCGTATCGTCTGAGATCCCCAGAGTTTGGAAAGCTGCCGGGGTGACACTCTAGATCCAAACTGTTACAGACCTAAGGCGGCAGGTAGCTTAGTGGGTAAGAGCGTTGTGCCAGTAACCGAAAAGTCGCTGTTTCTAATCCCCGAGCCGACTAGGTGAAAAATCTGTCGATGTGCCCTTAAGCAAGGCACTTAACCCTAATTGCTCCTGTAAGTCGCTCTGGATAAGAGCGTCTGCTAAATGACAAAAAAAAACTATATCCATCCTGCCCTGCCCTTCAAAAGTATTTGAAAGTAAAGTTAACAAACAGATCACCGACCATTTCGATTCCCACCGTACCTTCTCTGCTATGCAATCTGGTTTCCGAGCTGGTCATGGGTGCACCTCAGCCATGCTCAAGGTCCTAAACGATATTATAACCGCGATCGATAAAAGACAGTACTGTGCAGCCGTCTTCATCGACCTTGCTAAGGCTTTTGACACTGTCAATCACCGCATCTTATTGGCAGACTAAATAGCCTTGGTTTCTCAAATGACTGCCTCGCCTGGTTCACCAACTACTTCTCAGATAGAGTTCAATGTGTCAAATCGGAGGGCCTGTTGTCTGGACCTCTGGCAGTCTCTATGGGAGTGCCACAGGGTCCAATTCTCGGGCCGACACTATTCTCTTTGTATATCAATGATGTCGCTCTTGCTGCTGGTGGCTCTCAGAGCCACCTCTACGCAGACGACACCATTTTGTATACATCTGGCCCTTCATTGGACACTGTGTTAACAAACCTCCAAACGAGCTTCAATGCCATACAACACTCCTTCCGTAGCCTCCAACTGCTCTTAAACGCTAGTAAAACTAAATGCATGCTCTTCAATCGAACGCTGCTTGCACCCGCCCGACTAGAATCACTACTGTCTGACTTAGAATATGTGGACAACTACAAATACCTGGGTGTCTGGTTAGACTGTAAACTCTCCTTCCAGACTCACATTAAGCATCTCCAATCCAAAGTTGAATCTAGAATCGGCTTCCTATTTCGCAACAAAGCCTCCTTCACTCATGCTGCCAAACATGCCCTCGTAAAACTGACTATCCTACCGATCCTTGACTTCGGCGATGTCATTTACAAAATAGCCTCCAACACTCTACTCAGCAAATTGGATGTTGTCTATCACAGTGCCATCCGTTTTGTCACCAAAGCCCCATATACTACCCACCATTGTGACCTGTACGATCTCGTTGGCTGGCCCTCACTACATATTCGTCGCCAAACCCACTGGCTCCAGGTCCTCTATAAATGACTGCTAGGCAAATCCCTGCCTTATCTTAGCTCATTGGCCACCATAGCAACACCCACCCGTAGTATGCGTTCCAGCAGGTATATCTCACTGGTCATCCCCAAAGACAACACCTCCTTTGGCCGCCATTCCTTCATGTTCTCTGCTGCCAATGACTGGAACGAACTGCAAAAATCTCTGAAGCTGGAGACTCTTATCTCCCTCACTAACTTTAAGCATCAGTTGTCAGAGCAGCTTACCGATCACTGCACCTGTACACAGCCCATCTGTAATTAGCCCACCCAACTACCTAATCCGCATTTGTTATTTATTTTGCTCATTTGTACCCCAGTATCTCCATTTGCACATCATCTTCTGCACATCTATCACTCCAGTGTTAATACTAAATTGTAATTATTTTGCACTATGGCCTATTTATTGCCTTACCTCCATAACTTACTACATTTGCACACACTGTATATATATTTTCTGTTGTATTTTTGACTGTACGTTTTGTTTATCCCATATGTAACTCTGTGTTGTTGTTTTTATCGCACTGCTTTGCTTTATCTTGGCCAGGTCACAGTTGTAAATGAGAACTTGTTCTCAACTGGCTTACCTGGTTAAATAAAAATAAATGTTTTGGGGGACATTGGAGAAAGGAACTGTATATTGTAATTAAGGCTGTTTATGTATGTTTATAGGTGTGGCGCGTATGCAGCCCAGCCCCCTCAGGCCGGCTATGGACAAAACACACAGGTAAGCTCCCTTTGTTCTGACCTAAGCCCCTTTCCATAGCCCCTAGCCTTTTAGGGATCACAGATCTGAAAGGACTCGGTGAAGGAATACAATATGAAGCTTCTCTTCTGACTATCGGAGGACAAATTTCCGAAACTCCAAAAATAAAAATGTTTTTTGTTGCTTTCTGAAGAAACCACTGAATGGTATTGGACATTCCATAGATTAAATCTGTGTTGTTTTTCAGACAAGTTATAGCCAACCGCAGGTATATGGGTCATACAGCCAGCCGGCTGAGTCAACCTATCCCCAAGGCAGTAGCTCCTCAAGTGGCTACTCTCAACAGGGTTATGGATCCTCATACAGTCAGCAACCACCAGCTGCAGGTGATAACTTCTATTCACAGTTTAAAACCGGGTTCACTAACTTAACACATTTGATCAAAAAGTGAAATACAACTTTTTATGTGTGAGCCCAGCACACAGTATAATGTTTAGTTTTATGCCACTACCCCCTAGTTTACTGTGGGACAGCTGGGGCTTATAAACGCAGTTTAACAATGACTTTTTGTTTTCTCCTCTCAGCTGGGTACGCTGCCGCTCCTGTTGCCCCTCAGGTTTACAGCCAACCAGCTCATGGGTACGATGCCTCCCCTGCTCCTGCCACCACCACCAGCAGCAGCCAGGGTGGATATGGTGCCCAGCCTGCATACCAGGGATATGGGCAGCAGCCGGCCGCTGGAGCACCACCAAGGTGTTTCTTTGAGCACTCGAATTTCACACTTAATTATTTTTTTTGCTTAACTGGCAGCTTTTATTTTTTTATTTCACCTTTATTTAACCAGGTAAACCAGTTGAGAACAAGTTCTCATTTACAACTGCGACCTGGCCAAGATAAAGCAAAGCAGTGCGATAAAAACAACAACACAGAGTTACATATGGGGTAAAACAAAACAAAGTCAAAAATACAACAGAAATACATATAATATACAGTGTGCAAATTTAGCAAGTTATGGAGGTAAGGCAATAAAATAGGCTATAGTGCAAAATAATTACAATTTAGTATTAACACTGGAATGATGTGCAAGAGATGATGTGCAAATAGAGATACTGGGGTACAAATGAGCAAAATAAATAACAATATAGGGATGAGGTAGTTGGGCGGGCTAATTTCAGATGGGCTGTGTACAGGTGCAGTGATCGGTAAGGTGCTCTGACAACTGATGCTTAAAGTTAGTGAGGGAGATAAGTGTCTCCAGCTTCAGAGATTTTTGCAATTTGTTCCAGTCATTGGCAGCAGAGAACTGGAAGGAATTGCGGCCAAAGGAGGTGTTGGCTTTGGGGATGACCAGTGAGATATACCCGCTGGAGCGCAGACTACGGGTGGGTGTTGCTATGGTGACCAATGAGCTAAGATAAGGCGGGGATTTGCCTAGCAGTGATTTATAGATGGCCTGGAGCCAGTGGGTTTGGCGACGAATATGTAGTGAGGACCAGCCAACAAGAGCGTACAGGTCACAGTGGTGGGTATTATATGGGGCTTTGGAGACAAAACGGATGGCACTGTGATAGACAACATCCAATTTGCTGAGTAGAGTGTTGGAGGCTATTTTGTAAATGACATCGCCGAAGTCAAGGATCGGTAGGATAGTCAGTTTTACGAGGGCATGTTTGGCAGCATGAGTGAAGGAGGCTTTGTTGCGAAATAGGAAACCGATTCTAGATTTAACTTTGGATTGGAGATTCTTAATGTGAGTCTGGAAGGAGAGTTTACAGTCTAACCAGACACCTAGATATTTGTAGTTGTCCACATACTCTAGGTCAGACCCGTCTAGAGTAGTGATTCTAGTCGGGTGGGCGGGTGCAAGCAGCGTTCGGTTGAAGAGCATGCATTTAGTTTTACTAGTGTTTAAGAGCAGTTGGAGGCTACTGAAGGAGTGTTGTATGGAATTGAAGCTCGTTTGGAGGTTTGTTAACACAGTGTCCAATGAAGGGCCAGATGTATACAAAATGGTGTCGTCTGCGTAGAGGTGGATCTGAGAGTCACCAGCAGCAAGAGCGACGTCATTGATATACACAGAGAAAAGAGTTGGCCCAAGAATTGAACCCTGTGGCACCCCCATAGAGACTGCCATAGGTCCAGACAACAGGCCCTCCGATTTGACACATTGAACTCTATCTGAGAAGTAGTTGGTGAACCAGGCGAGGCAGTCATTTGAGAAACCAAGGCTATTTAGTCTGCCAATAAGAATGCGGTGGTTGACAGAGTCGAAAGCCTTGGCCAGGTCAATGAAAACGGCTGCACAGTACTGTCTATTATCGATCGCAGTTATAATATCATTTAGGACCTTGAGCGTGGCTGAAGTGCACCCATGACCAGCTCGGAAACCGGATTGCATAGCGGAGAAGGTACGGTGGGATTCGAAATGGTCGGTGATCTGTTTGTTGACTTGGCTTTCAAAAACTTTTGAAAGGCAGGGCAGGATGGATATGGGTCTGTAACAGTTTGGATCTAGAGTGTCACCCCCTTTGAAGAGGGGGATGACCGCGGCAGCTTTCCAATCTCTGGGGATCTCAGACGTTACGAAAGAGAGGTTGAACAGGCTAGTAATAGGGGTTGCGACAATTTCGGCGGCTAGTTTTAGAAAGAAAGGGTCCAGATTGTCTAGCCCAGATGATTTGTAGGGGTCCAGATTTTGCAGCTCTTTTAGAACATCAGCTGTCTGGATTTGTGTGAAGGAGAAGCGGGGGGGGGCATGGGCAAGTTGCAGCGGAGGGTGCAGAGCTGGTGGCCGGGGTAGTGGTAGCCAGGTGGAAAGCATGGCCAGCCGTAGCAAAATGCTTGTTGAAATTCTCGATTATTGTAGATTTATCGGTGGTGATAGTGTTTCCTAGCCTCAGTGCAGTGGGCAGCTGGGAGGAAGTGCTCTTATTTTCCATGGATTTTACAGTGTCCCAAAACTTTTTGGAGTTAGTGCTACAGGATGCAAATTTCTGTTTGAAAAAGTTAGCCTTTGCTTTCCTAACTGCTTGTGTATATTGGTTCCTAACTTCCCTGAAAAGTTGCATATCACGGGGGCTATTTGATGCTAATGCAGTACGCCACAGGATGTTTTTGTGCTGGTCAAGGGCAGTCAAGTCTGAGGAGAACCAGGGGCTATATCTGTTCTTAGTTCTGTATTTTTTGAATGGGGCATGTCTATTTAAGATTGAGAGGAAATTACTTTTAAAGAACAACCAGGCATCCTCTACTGACGGAATGAGATCTATATCCATCCAGGATACCTGGGCCAGGTCAATTAGGAAGGCCTGCTCGCTGAAGTGTTTTTGGGAGCGTTTGACAGTGATGAGGGGTGGTCGTTTGACCGCGGACCCGTTACGGACGCAGGCAATAAGGCAGTGATCGCTGAGATCCTGGTTGAAGACAGCGGAGGTGTATTTAGAGGGTAAGTTAGTCAGGATGATATCTATGAGGGTACCCATGTTTACGGATTTAGGGTTGTACCTGGTAGGTTCGTTGATAATTTGTGTGAGATTGAGGGCATCTAGTTTAGATTGTAGGATGGCCGGGGTGTTAAGCATATCCCAATTTAGGTCACCAAGCAGTACGAACTCTGAGGATAGATGGGGGGCAATCAATTCACATATGGTGTCCAGGGCACAGCTGGGGGCTGAGGGGGGTCTGTAGCAAGCGGCAACAGTGAGAGATTTATTTCTGGAAAGGTGGATTTTTGGAAGTAGAAGCTCAAACTGTTTGGGCACAGACCTGGATAGTATGATGGAGCTCTGCAGGCTATCTCTACAGTAGATTGCAACTCCACCCCCTTTGGCAGTTCTATCTAGACGGAAAATGTTATAGTTGGGGATGGAAATTTCAGAATTTTTGGTGGCCTTCCTAAGCCAGGATTCAGACACTGCTAGAACATCAGGGTTGGCGGAGTGTGCTAACGCAGTGAATAACTCAAACTTAGGAAGGAGGCTTCTGATATTTATGTGCAGAAAACCAAGACTTTTACGGTTACAGAAGTCAACAAATGATAGCTCCTGGGGAGTAGGAGTGATACTGGGGGCTGCAGGGCCTGGGTTAGCCTCTACATCACCAGAGGAACAGAGGAGGACTAGAATAAGGATACGACTAAAGGCTTTAAGAACTGGTCTTCTAGTGCGTTGGGTACATAGAATAAAGGGGGCAGTTCTCCGGGCGTTGTAGAAAAGATTCAGGGCATTATGTACAGAAAAGGATATGGAAGGATATGAGTACAGTTCAGGTAACCCTAAGCGTTGGGTAACAATGAAAGAGAGAGCCTCATTGGAGGCATCGATTGAGCCGGTCTCGGCGTGTATGGGGGGAGGAACAAAGGAACTATATGAGGCAGTTTGAGAGGGACTAGGGGTTCTACATTGAAATTGTATAATAAGAACTAACCCAAACAGCAATAGGCAAGGCATAATTGACATGGGAGAGAGGCATAAAGCAGTCACATGTGTTATTAGAGAGAGCTAAGACACAACTGGAAATAGCGATAACGTTTGGGCTAAGACTAAACAGAATAAACAGGACAGAGTACCGTGTAAAGGAACAGTCCAGCAGGCATCAGCTGTGCAGCTGAGTGATCATAAGGTCCAGTGAACAGCAATATGTGAGTCCGAGAGCAGTTCAAATTGGTGCTTCAGCACAGCTAGCAGGGAGCACAGTTGTGGTTTGCGTGTGCTAACGGGCCGGGGCTGGCAGATGGATCTTCGTGGTCGTCGCAACGGGAAGCCTGTTGAAACCACATCAGACTATTTCGTCGGCAAACCAGTCGTGTTGGATCGGCGGGGCTCAGTGTCAACACTAGGAGGTCCCGTCCGGTTGACAGAGAGGTAGATAGCCGGGAGATGGGCCTGAGGCTAGCTCAAGGCTAACTGGTGCTTGCTATAGGGCAATGGTAATGGTAATCAGCCAACAACAGGTTGCAGCTAGCTAGCTGGTTGTGATGATCCGGCGCTAAGGTCCAGTGATTCCGGCAGAAAGTCCAATAAGCTCTGGGTCGATAGCACGCTGGGTTGATAGCACGCTGTGCAGACTGGCCGACGAATTGTCCAGGCTAGAGCTAGAGCTGGCTGGTGGATAGTGTAGGCCACGGACAATGGTGAAGACGCTAACGGTGACTAATAACAGGTAGCCACTATTTTCAGCTTACGGTTCTTGATGAAAGTTATAAAGAAATAATAGAATCCTTTCCACGTTGGGTGAGGCGGGTTGCAGGAAAGTATATTTAGTTAAAGAATGAAAGTAAAAAATTGAGAAATATAGACAAAAAAAACAAGAAACGGGATATTTACACAGGACGAAAAATAAAAGTGACCGCACTTAAGCTCCTTTACCAGAACATTGGGTGATAAGAGGTCATTCTAGGGCCAGACTGTTCGTCCTTTATGTCCAGTGAGGATGGTTAATGCTTGGTAGTATCCCGCCCATGTATCTACTAATCTGACAAAGACCAGCTGCATTATGCCAGCTGGAGGTTTGACCCTATTTCTCTTACCTAATTGTGTCTTCTGCCTCTCCTGTCCCCACAGCACCAGCAGCCAGCCACCCTCCAGCTATGAACAGAACTCCTACTCAACGGTGCCCCAGCAGGGCTCCTACTCCCAGCCTCCTCAGGTTGGTGGATACCAGGTGCAACAGGCTCCTCCTCCCCAGCAGCAGGTCCCACCTTCCAGCTATGCTCCCCCATCAGGAGGGTCCTACGGTCAGCCACCTTCCAGCCAGTATGGACAACCAGGTGGACCAGGAGGCACCTATGGTCAGCAGGGTGAATACAAAACACCTAGCCAGTACAGTAAGTCTGGTTACTTAAGGCATTGTATACTGGTCTATTCTATATTTAACGTTCTTACTTGTGTTGGGTGCTAACTGTCTGCTCTCTTCCCAGGCAACTACAGGCAGGATAATTCCAACGGAGGGGGCTATTCGGGGCCAGAGTCGCGTGGATATGGGGGCCGCAGTGAGGGCCGAGGCATGGGTGGGGGGGAGAGCCGCGGCCGCGGGGGGTTTGACCGTGGCGGGATGATGCGTGGTGGTGGCAGCATGCGCGGTGGAATGAGCAGAGGAGGAATGGGGTAAGTGCTCGCCTGTCCTCTCACTTCATCAAACCTTTTCTCCTACAGGAGCAGAGTGATGCCTGCACAGGGCTGAGAGCTGCATATCACCCCTCACTGAATAGGGCAGTGAGCCAAACGAAGCGCAGCAGAAAGACATGGTACACATTATTGCTGCAATTGGAATTGAGTGGGAAGTTAAAGGCATACTTCGGGATTTTGACAATGAGGCCATTTATCTACTTCCCCAGAGTCAATGAACTCGTGGATACCATTTTTATGTCTGTGTCCAGTATGACGGAGGTTAGAGCATGCTAGCAGATACCCATAGACTTCCAGTCATCTGCTAGCATGCTCTAACTTCTGTCATACTGGACACAGGGGCATAGAAATGTTATCCACAAGTTCATCTGACTCTGGGGAAGTAGATTTAAGGGTCTCGTTGCCAAAATCCAGAAGTATCCCTTTGAGGCATAGGATGTAGGATACATTTTAAACTAGCTTGATGAACACATTCTCTAAAATATTATGTGAAATCGGTCTTATCATTTAAGTGCCTTCAGAAAGTATTCACACCCCTTTACTTTTTCCACATTTTGTTGTTACAGCCTGAATTTTAATTTGAATTAAATTGTGATTTTGGGTCACTGGCGTACACATAATTCCCCATAATGTCAGTGGAATTATGTTTTTAGAAACATTTACAAATTAATAAAAAATCGAACGCTGAAATGTCTTGAGTCAAGTATTCAACCCCTTTGTTATAGCAAGTCTAAATAAGTTCTGGAGTAAAAATGTCCTTAACAAGTCGCATAATACGTTGCATGGACTCACTCCGTGTGCAATAATAGTGTTTAACATGATTTTTGAATGACTACCGCATCTCTGTACCCCACACATACAATTATCTGTACGGTCCCTCAGTCAAGCAGTGAATTTCAAACAGATTCAACCACAGACCAAGGAAGTTTTCAAATGCCTCGCAAAGAAGGGCATCTATTGGTAGATGGGTAAAAAAAAAAGAAAAAAAGCAGACATTGAATATCCCTTTGAGCATGGTGAAGCTATTAATTAGACATTGGATGGTGAATCAATACACCCAGTCGCTACAAAGATGCAAGCGTCTTCCTAACTCAGTTGCCGGAGAGGAAGGAAACCGCTCAGGGATTTCACCATGAAGCCAATGGTGACTTTAAAACAGATACAGAGTTTAATGGCTGTGATAGGATAAATCTCTGAGTAACGTTGTAGTTACTCCACAATACTAACCTAAATGACAGTGAAAAGAAAGAAGCCTGTACAGAATAAAACATATTCAGAAACATGCATCCTATTTGCAATTACCGTAATTTTCGGATTATAAGCCGCGCCTTTTTTCCAATTTTTCGACCCTGCGGCTTATATAACGGTGCGGCTAATCTATGGATTAAAAAATTGAAAAGTTTGTGTGTCTGAAACGCTATGTGATACAGTACAGTTTACACAGCACAGTATATGTTCTGTAGCTACTATTGCACTAAATGGTAACACTTGAATACGTTATGCAAATATGCAACTTGTTTGTTGAAATGTTAATAAATGGGAGCTTCCTCAAGCAACCATCTCTTTCCCGACAATCCCCTCTGTGCACGAACCCTTACATATGGTAATTAAACATTAAAACACCAGCGGCTTATAGTCCAGTGCAGCTTATATATGTACACATCATTCAATTTAGCTGCTGCGGCTTATACTCCGGTGCGCCTTATAGTGCGGAAAATACGGTAGACACTAAAGTAAAACGTGGCAAAGAAATGAACTTTTATGTCCTTAGTACAAAGCGTTATACTTGGACCAAATCCAACACAACACATCACTGAGTACCAATCCTCATATTTTCAAGCGTGGTGGCTGGCTCATGTTATGGGTATGCTTGTCACCGGCAAGGACTATGGATTTTTTTTTGTGTAAAAGTAAATGTAATAGAGCTAAGCACAGGCATAATCCTAGAGGAAAACCTGGTTCAGTCTGCTTTCCAAAAGACACTGGGAGACAGATTTACCTTTCAGCACGAAATCAACCTAAAACAAGGCCAAATATACACTGGAGTTGCTTACCAAGACAACATTGAATGTTCCTGAGTGGCCTAGTTACAGTTTTGACTTAAATTGTCTTGAAGTTCTATGGCAAGACTTGAAACTGGCTGTTTACCAATGATCAACCAACTTGAGCTCTTGAAGAATTTTAAAAAGAATAATGTGCAAATATTGTACAATCCAGGTGTGGGAAGCTCTTAGAGACTTACCCAGAAAGACTCACATTTACATTTTAGTCATTTAGCAGACGCTCTTATCCAGAGCGACTTACAGTTAGTGAGTGCATATACTCACAGCTGTAATTGCTGCCAAATATGATTATAACATGTATTGACTCAGGGATGTGAATACTTATGTAAAATAAATATTTCTCTAGTTAATTTTCAATACATTTGCAAACATTTCTAAAAACATGTTTTCATTTTGTCATTATGGGGTATTGTGTGTAGATGGGTGAGAAAATTAATTACTTTAATCCATTTTGATTTAGACTGTAACACAACAAAATGTGGAATAAGTCAAGGGGTATGAATACTTTCTGAAGGCAGTGTATGTTGTGCCACTGGTTGCTGCTCTCAGCCCTCCCACTGTATGGCCAAAGGTAAGAAGGTACCCACAAGCTAAAGACCATCAGCAAACATCTCTACTTTGGCTCCCTAGACACTCCCAACTGAACTGTGTCAGTCAAATACCAGTTTGGCTACCCAGAGAGATGTAGAAAGATGTTTTTTGCCAGTTTATATTTTTTGCCTGTGCAAGTTTATTTTAAAAAGGAGCACACGAGAGCCAAAGTCAGTTGGGATAAAAGCAGTGAGTTCATTGAACCAGAGATTTTGCTTAATTTGGGAGATTCAGGTAGCCAGTACATAATTTACAGCATGTTTATGCTACAAGATGTCTGTAGGTATTTTTTGGAATGAGGGAATTTCTGGTCACATTCAAATGAACAGAAGCTCATGAAGGACCACAATTTGAATAGGCTATTCAACCACGTTATTCTAATGGTTAAATTAATGATACATCTTTGGGGTCCCTGGTTTATTTATTTTAATTCAGGAAATTGTTATGGGGTTCCTACATAAACCCTATCTACATTTTTAAAGGTATTTAGTTTGTGTTCCAACTTTGGCACAACCCCTTTAGGTAGGCTATACAATGCTAAAGTTGTGTGTGAACCGTATATCCACTTAGGGAACGTATAGCTCCAAACCTGCATACATACAGTAACAATATATTTATTTAGCTATGTTAGGTCTTGATATTAGTAGATGGGTATATCAATAACAACAGAGTGAACTGGTCTAAAGCCATACAGCGTTGTGAAGAGCTTTTCAGATTTTGGAGGTTATTTTTCATGTTAATTTGTTATTATTTTTTAAAAAGGTGAATGCATTGCTTTGTCACTTAAGGCCAAATGTATAATTATTCATAACTACCGGTGCAGTTATTGTACTGGTAAAAGCAGAGGCACATTTTATATTGCGGTTTTAACTTTTAACATAATTGATAGACGTTTAATTACCCCAGTATTCACAAGTGCATTGCATTCACCTTTCTTACTCACAGGTAAGAAACAAATATGTGTTTAAATGGTATAACTTAAAATGTATTGCTGAAGTGCACTTTTCTTTTAACATGCTTTGTCGCATTTATATGCTACAGGTTACAAAGTGAGAGCCATGTAAACACACCAATACTTTTACAGTACCACTACTCAGTTCTGAGTCTGTGCCGGCAGCCTTTTGAAAAGGGGACATAATCGGTGGTGTCAACGAGGTGTCCAAAAATGTCAGTAAATGTCATCAAGAGGGGAAAAAAAATGTTTTTGAACAAATGTAATTTGATGAAAATGATTGGTAGCTTATTTATATTTTATGTAATCAAATAATCTCCTTGTGTAATACTGTGTTAATTGACTACATGTTTACATGAAATGGCTGCATGTACCATACAAGTTCTTTAACACAATTGTCTCAGGTGCAGCTCTGAATAGTAAAGGCTTCCATGTGTCTCAGCAGAGCACTTCATGTCATACATGTTATGGCATTTTGCAGGGAAAGGGGGGGGGGGGTGAATTTTACTTTTTATATTGACCCGAGAAGTTTGGTCTTTAACTTGAGATGCATCTGAAACAATACAAATATTTCCTGTTGTGTAAAAGTCAGGGGTTTTCTACCCCAGAGGTAATAAAGATTGAAGCCACCCCATTATAAAAAAACATTGATACTCCTATTAAGTTATGCCACTTCTGCATTCAACAATAATATTGTATTCAGCAAGGGAACCCATAGACTACAAACATTGTATAGACCCCTACCCCTGTTTTTAAGATTCTTTAGTTCCTTTTAAGATTCAATGTGTCTTTTGGGGGGGTTTAGAGCGAAGTTAGTTTATTTTGGGTGTTTTAAATGAGAGCTAGTCAGAACTGTGCCCACTCTCCCCATCCCTGTGGTACAAAGTGGCTGTTAAAGGGAAATCGTCTTCATATCTCCGCTTATTCCCCCAGCTTCGCTGGAGACAGAGGTGGCTTCAGTAAGCCTGGTGGTAAGTTTAATGAGAATTACAAGACAATAATACACTAGTCCACCTTACACATTTAGGAACTTTTCTCTACTTGCCGTGTTAAGTATTTTCTTGTCAATGGGAAAAACAAAGCAAATATGATATTGACGGTTCATTTGGGTTTTTCACACACACTGCTTCGATGGTATTTTCAATGTCAAGCGTCCACTCAATTACTTCCGAGTTTTAAAGTGTTCCCATTGTTTATGGTATACAACCCCAAGCCATTAGGCTTTTCTACATATTTATTTGCTTAGTAATGTGGTCTTTTGATATACAACTTTCATATGAGGTAAATTTTCAGCCTTTGGTGTTTTGTGTGTTCAGGGGTTTTGAAACCACTTTCTTATACATGAGACAAATTGGGTTTCAGGGATATAATCATGAGGTTGCAACAGCTTATTTTTATTTTCTTATTTGGCAAAAGGGAACGCTCAGATGAGCATGTGTGCCTGAGTAAAGTCAAACCGCTGCATGCATGGGGTAGATGATCAGGCAAATGTGCATACTAACGTTGGGTCTCTCGTCTTCTCTCCTCCTCTTTGTGGATGGGCAACAGGACCAGACTCCGACATGGGTAAGTTCAGCATGCCATGTATCAAACCCAGCAAAATATCTGTGTGCATCAGTTTGTAAATAAAATGTTTAACAGCCCTAACTCTGTCCACAGGACGCCCAGAGGTGCAGGATGACTCTGAGAACAGCACAATTTACATCACTGGCCTGACAGAGAATGCCACGCTGACCGACGTTGCTGACTTTTTCAAGCACAGTGGAATAATCAGGGTTGGTACTTGGCTATGATGCAGTTTGGAGAGTTTTGCTAAATGTTATCACAGGCTTTTGAAAATACCCCAATTTTTCTCCCCAATTTCGTGATATCCAATTGCGATCCAATTACGATATTTTCTCATCGCTGCAACTCCCAAACTGGCTCGGGAGAGGCGGAGGTCGAATCATGTGTCCTCCGAAACATGACCCGCCAAGCCGCGCTTCTTAACACCCGCTTGCTTAACCCGGAAGCCAGCTGCACCAATGTGTCGGAGGAAGCACCGTTCAATTGACGACCGAGGTCAGCTTGCAGCGGCCCGGTCCGCCACAAGGAGTCGCTAGAGCGCGATGAGTTAAGTAAACCCCCAAACTCTCCCCTAACTCGGACGATGCTGGGCCAATTGTGCGCCGCCAGTTGTGAGACAGCCTGGGATCGAACCCCAGGCTGTAGTGACGCCGCAACACTGCGATGCAGTGCCTTAGACCGCTTCGCCACTCGGGAGGCGAATTGGGTGATGATAAAAAAAAAAAAAAAACTGGTTTCAATTTTTCAGATCAACAAGCGCACAGGTTTGCCTGCTATCAACATCTACACAGACAAAGATTCAGGGAAACCACAGGGCGATTGTACTCTGTCCTATGATGAGCCCCCATGCGCCAAAGCTGCAGTGGAGTGGTTTGATGGTGAGTGTCGTATTGCTATTTTACTTTGGGTAGTAACGGAGGCCCTCTGATAGCCCCCTGATAAGAATCAATAGGGCTTCATGCATAATCTTGGCAAAGTTATTTCTATAAATGTTTGTATTAAATATGCACCTCTCAACCTCTTCCTGTTTTTCTACCTAGGCAAAGACTTTCAGGGGAAGAAGCTAAAGGTGTCGATGGCTCGCCGTAAGCCCATTATGGGGATGATGCGAGGAGGCATGCCCATGAGGGGTGACAAGGGAGGCATGATGAACCGTGGAGGTATGTTCTACCAATCCCGTTCAACGCATCTGGAATGGACTTATCCAACCTACTCTGTTTCAGCATTTTAGAATATCTTGCTACATAGAAAATACATTTAAGATGTAACATATACTTGGCAATTAGTAGATGGTGGTAAAAGTTGATAGATCTCAAACTTAGTGTAACATATTCTGAACACTGTCATCCCCTGGTCACACTCAGGGCCAGGAATGATAGGCCGTGGTGGTGGTCCAATGGGTCGAGGTGGGGAGCGCGGAGGCTTTATCCCCAGGGGTGGTCCCCGTGGCATGGGCAGAGGTGGGCCCTCAGGGGGCAACATGCACCAGAGAGCAGGAGACTGGGAGTGCCCTAATGCGTGAGTACTGACAACAACAGTTGAGTCATTGACTGCCTTTCTCTGTGGTTTGGGGTAGTCCTGACTGAGGCTTATGATTGCAGGGGCTGTGGTAATCAGAACTTTGCCTGGAGAATGGAGTGTAACCAGTGCAAATCACCCAAACCAGAAGGCTTTGGACCACCTCCTTTCTCCCCTCCAGGTAAATGCTTTGCTATCAATTCCTACTTCATAAAGGATAAAGTACTCTCCGGTAGGTTAAAGATATTCTCTGGTACTTTTGTATATTTTTTTAGCCAGTAGTTCTGAAAGTAGCACCCATGAGCCAAAAGTGCTCCCCAGAAATTGCGTACTACGCCACAAATGTGCAGATATGTGCACCACCTCATTGCTCTCTCTCAAATCAAATAAAAGTGTATTTATCACATGCTTCAGGTGTAAACATACAGTGAAATGCTTACTTACGGACCCTTCCCAACAACGCAGAACGGAAGAAAATACAGAAATAATAGAAAAGTAAAACACGTAATAATAGATACACAATGAGTAATGATAACTTGGGTTTATGAAAGGGGTACCAGTACAGAGTCAATGTGCTGGGGTACGAGGTAATTGAGGTAGATGTAACTAGGAATAAAGTGACAGATGGTAAACAGTAGCAGCAGCGTATGTGATGAGTCAAAGTTGGTGCAAAAAGGGTCAATGCAGATAATCCGGATAGCTATTTGGTTAACTATTTAACTAACTATTTAGCAGTCTTATGGCTTTGGGGTAGAAGCTGTTCAGGTCCCTGTTGGTTCCAGACTTTGTGCATCGGTGCCGTGCGGTAGCAGTGAGAACAATCTATGACTTGGGAGGCTGGAGTCTTTAACCATTTTTAGGGCCTTCCTCTGACACTGCCTAGTATAGAGGTCCTGGATGGCAGGGAGCTCGTCACCAGTGATGTACTGGGCCATACGCACTACCCTCTGTAGCGCCTTACGGTCGGATGACTAGCAGTTGCAATACCAAGCGGTAATGCAGCCAGTCAAGATGCTCTCAATGGTGCAGCTGTAGAACATTTTGATGATTTGAGGGCCCTGTCAAATCTTCTCAGCCTCCTGAGGGGGAAGAGGCATTGTTATGCCCTCATCACGACTGTGTTGGTGTGTTTGGACCATGATGGATCCTTAGTGATGTGGACACAGGAACTTGAAGCTATCGACCCGCTCCACTACAGCCCTGTCGACGTGAATGGGGGAGTGCTCAGCTCTCCGTTTCCTGTAGTCCACGATCAGCTCCTTTGTCTTGCTGACGTTGAGGGAGAGGTTGTTGTCCTGGAACCACACTGCCAGGTCTCTGACGACCTCCCTATAGGCTGTCTCATCGTCGTTGGCCATCATGCCCACCACCATTGTCAGCGAACTTAATGATGGTGTTGGAGTCATGCGCGGCCACGCAGTCGTGGGTGAACAGGGTGTACAGGAGGGGACTAAGCACGCACCCCTGAGGGGCCCTGTGGTGAGGGTCAGCGTGGCAGATGTGTTGTTGCCCTTACCACCTGGGGGCGTCCAGTCAGGAGGTCCAGGATCCAGTTGCAGAGGGACGTGTTCAGTCCGAGTCCTTAGCTTTGTGGTAAGCTTGGAGGGCAATATGGTGTTGAACGCTGAGTTGTAGTCAATGTAGCGTTCTCATGTAGGTGTTCCTTTTGTTCAAGTAGGAAAGGGCAGTGTGGAGTGCAATAGAAATTGCATTATCTGTGAATCTGTTGGGGTGGTATGCAAATTGGAGTGGGTCTGGGATGATTGAGTTGACGTGAGCCATGACCAGCCTTTCAAAGCATTTCATTGCTACAGATGTGTGTGCTACGGGGCAATAGTCATTTAGACAGGTTACCTTGGCATTCTTGGACACAGGGACTATGGTGGTCTGCTTGAAACATGTAGGTATTACAGACTGGATCAGGGAGAGGTTGAAAATGTCAGTGAAGACACTTGCCAGCTGCTCTGAGTACGCGTTCTGGTAATCCGTCTGGCCCTGCGAATGTTAACCTGTTTAAAGGTCTTATTCACATCAGCTACGGAGAGCTTGGTCACACAGTTGTCCGGAACAGCTGGTGCTCTCTTGCATGGTTCAGTGTTGCTTGCCTCGACGCGAGCATAGAAGGCATTTAGCTTGTCTGGTAGACTTGTAATCCGTGATAGTTTGCCAGCCCTGCCACATCCGACGAGCGTCAGAGCCTGTGTAGTAGGATTCGATCTTAGTCCTGTATTGACGCTTTGCCTGTGATGGTTCGTCGAAGGGCGTAGTGGGATTTCTTATAAGCATCCGGGTTAGTGTCTCACTCCTTGAAAGCAACAGTTCTAGCCTTTAGCTCAGTGCGGATGTTGCCTGTAATCCATGGCTTCTGGTTAGGAAATGTACGTACGGTCACTGTGGGGACGATGTCGTCGGTGCACTTATTAATGAAGCCGGTGACTGACTCTTGCTCTACTGTGTGTTAGTGTTGTCACAATATCAGGTTTAGTATCACAATACTCGATACCGTCACGGAAACACAGCAAATAAATGACTTATTAGCCAAAGTCACAGAATGGCACTTGATCAGATAAACTCAGCTACTGCTCTGTTCAATCGTTGGGCATCTTGAGTTCAACATCATTAAAATTAGATTTATTTTTTAACAAACATTTTTCTGAGACACCATGTATGCATTAATGGTTCAATTATACAATCATACAATCAATTAGACTTTGTTTTTACCAATCTAACTACATAACATAATGGTAATCATTTATTTGAATGGTAAATCTATATTAATAAACTGGGTAAATCTAGATGTAGCCTAGGCCTATCCACATTACAGTCCCGTGTAGCTCAGTTGGTAGAGCATGGCACTTGCAAAGCCAGGGTTGTGGGTTCGATTCCCGTGGGGAGCCAGTATGAAAATGTATGCACTCACTAAGTCGCTCTGAATAAGAGCGTCTGCTAAATGACTAAAATGTAAAAAATAAAATTACAGGTGAATGCATATTCAATAGGAGTGTGTGCATTCATTGAGTTATCAAGCTTGTTTTGGCTGTAATTCATGGGGCTACAGATGACAATCTGTTCCCCTTCCATTTGTGACCTATTTTATTGAACTGATCCACAACATTTGCATAGAAGTAGCTTATTTTGTAAAGTCTCTAACGAGTCAGAGCATATGAGCGGAGTGGAGCGAGCGTGGAGCGTGAGCGGACGGATTTTGAACAGAGCGCAGAGCGGCATTTTTAAAAGGACGGAGCGTCGCCCTATGTCCCGCTCCAATTTCGCTCGCTCACACCACGAGTCTGAAGCATGCTCAAGCCTGACCCAGAATCCATCTGTTTAATTTAATTTGTGTCGTCCATGAATTTGTATTTTATAGAGCGAGAGGAGCAGCAGCAGCAACAAGAGAAAAGGGTTGAGGAATTCAAAAGTTTATTCACTGCACGCAAAGGCCCAACCATAACAAGGGAGAGAAAAAGAGAGCTGGATGTAGCATTTTTTGAAATGATTTTCATGGACTATGAACCGCTGAGTAAAGGAGAACGCGAAGGGATGCAACACTTCGCCAGCGCAGCTCAACCGGGCTACACTCCCCCAAGAAACTATGATAAATCAGTACTTTACTTTGTCAAATTTACATCTGAGATGCCCCATTCACATGCTTCAGCTGGCGATCAAAAACGCCGTTAACAAGCACGACAACATTAATAGGCTGTTAGTGAAAGTCGGGCACCTGGTGAAAAGTGTACGCAAGAGCACAGAGGAAACCGACCAATTAGGTGTCCGCCCCACAAATGCCTGCGCCATTCGATGGAGCAGCCAGCTGCGGATGATTCAGTCGTTCATCCGGTTGTTCCAAAAAGACCCGTTATGGTAAAACAAACTCAAGTCTAATGTTGCTAACATCACCCTGAATCAAGTACGGCAGCTGACGCACCTTGTCAGTGTGCTGACACCACTAGCAGACCTCACAGACAAAATGCAGAAGGAGCTGGGGAACCTGGGGATGATCCTCCCTGCTGTCACAGAAATCAAATCCCTGCTCACCGATTACACTCACGCTGCACTTCCAATGGGCATCGCTGCTTTTGCAGAAACATTGGCAAACAACGTGTCAATTCGCTATGGAATATACTATACTGATTAACATCTCATTTTAGCGTCAGTGTTAGATCCCCGTTTCAAGACAGAATGGATCATCCGAGATGAGTCTGTATGCAACAAATTCGGGGAGATAAAGTAAGGCTGTGGTTTAAGCTAAAAGTGAAATACATGCAGATTTTGTTCCTTTTTTGGAGTGAGCGGGGGGCGATTTTGAGTGGAGCGCGATGCAAACTGCGTTGAGCGCTGAGCGATAATGAGCGGACTGGCCTGATGTGGCTTTGAGCGGGGGGAGCGGAGGAGTGAACAGCTCCGTGAGCGAGGAGCTGAGATTCTCACCGCTCCACTCCGCTCATATGCTCTGTAACGAGTAATAACGTTTTTCACGAGGCAGTCAGTTCGCTGAGGTAATAGAGCTCACCAGCTTGTCCTAAAAACCAGAAATGAGTTACCTCTGGTTCATTCAACCATTCCTATGGGGAAAATGTAATGGAGAAAGAATAGGGTTTTGGGATAAACGCTGAAAATAAGGTCTGAGGTTAACACAGGTTAAGGAGATCTTATACACTACACAACCAAAAGTATGTGGACACCTGCTCGTCGAACGTCTCATTCCAAAAGCATGGCCATTTAAATGTAAAATGTAAAATGTAAATTTAATATGGAGTTAGTCCACCCTTTGCTGCTATAACAGCCTCCACTCTTCTGGGAAGGCTTTCCACTAGATGTTGGAACATCAACCAAACTTTACAGTCAGATTTGTCCGTCGGACTGCTAGATGGTGAAGCGTGATTCATCACTCCAGAGAACGCGGTTTCACTGGTCCAGAGTCCAATATGGGCGAGCTTTACACCACTCCAGCCGACGCTTGGCATTGTGCATGGTGATCTTAGGCTTGTGTGCGGCTGCTCGGCCATGGAAACCCATTTCATGAAGCTCCTGACAAACAGTTATTGTGCTGACGTCGCTTCCAGAGGCAGTTTGGAACTCGGTAGTGAGTATTGCAACCGAGGACAGACTATTTTTACGCACTTCAGCACTCGGCGGTGCTGTTCTGTGAGTTTGTGTGGCCTACCACTTCGCGGCTGAGCCGATGTTCCTCCTAGACGTTTCCACTTCATAATAACAACACTTACAGTTGACCAGGGCAGCTCTTGCAGGGAAGAAATTTGGCTAACTGACTTGTTGGAAAGGTGGCATCCTATGACGGTGCCGCGTTGAAAGTCTCTGAGCTCTTCAGTAAAGCCATTCTACTGCCAATGTTTGTCTATGGAGATAACATGGCTGTGTGCTCGATTTTATACACCTGTCAGCTACAGTTGTGGCTGAAATAGCCGAATTCACTCATTTTAAGGGGTGTCCAAATACAGTGCATTCGGAAAGTATTCAGACCTCTTGACTTTTTCCACATTTTATGTTACAGCCTTATTCTAAAATGGTTTAAATAGTTTCTTCCCCTCATCAATCTACACACAATACCCCATAATGACAAAGCAAACAAGCTTTTTAGAATTTCTGTAAATGCATTAAATAAAAAAAGGAAATATTACTTTTACTAAGTATTCAGACCCTTTACTCTGTACTTTGTTGAAGCACCTTTGGCAGTGATTACAGCCTCGAGTCTTCTTCTGTATGACGCTACAAGCTTGGTACACCTGTATTTGGGGAGTTTCTCCCATTATTCTCTGCAGATCCTCTCAAGCTCTGTCAGGTTGGATGGGGAGCGTTACTGCACAGCTATTTTCTGGTCTCTCCAGAGATGTTTGATCGGGTTCAATTCCGGGCTCTGGCTGGGCCACTCAAGGACATTGAGAATTGTCCCGAAGCCAATCCTGCGTTGTCTTTGCTGTGTGCTTAGGGTCGTTGTTCTGTTGCAAGGTGAACCTTTGCCCCAGTCTGAGGTCCTGATTGCTCTGGAGCAGGTTTTCATCAAGGATCTCTCTGCACTTTGCTCCGTTGAACTTTCCCTCGATCCTGACTGGTCTCCCAGTCCCTGCCGCTGAAAAACATCCCCACAGCATGATGCTGCCACCACCATGCTTCACCGTAGGGATGGTGCCAGGTTTCCTCCAGATGTGACGCTTGTCATTCTGGTGTAAGAGTTCAATCTTGGTTTCATCAGACCAGAGAATCTTCTTTCTCATGGTCTGAGAGTCCTTTAGGTGCCTTTTGGCAAACTCCAAGCAGGCTGTCGTGCGTTTTATTGAGGCGTGGCTTCAGTCTGGCCACTCTACCATAAAGTCCTGATTTGGTGGAGTGCTGCAGAAATGGTTGTCCTTCTGGAAGGTTCTCCCATCTCCACAGAGGAACTTTGGAGCTCTGTCATAGTAACCATCGGGTTATTGGTCACCTTCCTGACAAAGGCCCTTCTCCCCCGATTGCTCCGTTTGGCTGGGCGGCCAGCTCCAGGAAGAGTCTTGGTGGTTCCAAACTTCTTCCATTTAAGAATGATTGAGGCCACTGTGTTCTTGGGGACCTTCAATGCTGCAGAAATGTTTTGGTACCCTTCCCCAGATCTGTGCCTTGACATAATCCTGTCTCGGAGCTCTACGGGCAATTCCTTCGACCTCATGGCTTGGTTTTTGCTCTGACATGCACTGTCATCTCTGGGACCTTTATATAGACAGGTGTGTGCCTTTCCAAATCACGTCCAATCAATTGAATTTACCACAGGTGGACTCCAAGTTTGTAGAAACATCTCAAGGATGATCAATGGAAACAGGATGCACCTTAGCTACATTTCGAGTCGTAATAGCAAAGGGTCTGAATTCTGTAAGTAAGGTATTTCTGTTTTATTTTTTAATACATTTGCTAAAATTTCTAAAAAAAAACAGTTTTTGCTTTGTCACTGGGTATTGTGTGTAGATTGAGAACATTAATTTAATCAATTTTAGAATGAGGCGGTAATGTGGAAAAAGTCAAGGTGTCTGAATACTTTCCGAATGCACTGTATATTGCGCTAATTTCCCTAATGTGGACAGTTTATTACTACTGTACACAAGCTTGCATTTTCACCCCATAAAATGTAGTGGAATTACACATCCTTCTTACCTCAGATTGGTAATGTTAGTATAAAAGTTTTATAGTCGTCACAATGACATAATATACAGTGGGGGGAAAAAAGTATTTAGTCAGCCACCAATTGTGCAAGTTCTCCCACTTAAAAAGATGAGAGAGGCCTGTAATTTTCATCATAGGTACACGTCAACTATGACAGACAAATTGAGGAAAAATGTTCCAGAAAATCTTCCCAGCCTGGTGCAGGTCTACAATTTTGTTTCTGGTGTCCTTTGACAGCTCTTTGGTCTTGGCCATAGTGGAGTTTGGAGTGTGACTGTTTGAGGTTGTGGACAGGTGTCTTTTTATACTGATAACAAGTTCAAACAGGTGCCATTAATACAGGTAACGAGTGGAGGACAGAGGAGTCTCTTAAAGAAGAAGTTACAGGTCTGTGAGAGGCAGAAATCTTGCTTGTTTGTAGGTGACCAAATACTTATTTTCCACCATAATTTGCAAATAAATTCATAAAAAATCCTACAATGTGATTTTCTGGAATTTTTTTTCTCCATTTCTGTCATAGTTGACGTGTACCTATGATGAAAATTACAGGCCTCTCTCATCTTTTTAAGTGGGAGAACTTGCACAATTGGTGGCTGACTAAATACATTTTTTCCCCACTGTAGATTGCTTAAAACAGATCAATATCTTTTCTTTAGTTCCGTTGATTTTGTCACAAGCTGGGATGCGCAGGACGTGGAGTTAATGAAAGGGTACAGAAAATTTGGGCGTTCTCTCTTTGAAAGTCGCTGGCCACACTCCAATCAATGGATTTGATATTCACTTAAATGGCAGGCAACCGTTGTCACTGTTGAAATCCTATGATGCGTTATGATTAGTTTAAGTTAACTAACAGAGAAAGTGGTTTTTCTTTATTTTTACATTGAAGAATAATAGTGAAGTCATCAAAACTATGAAATAACACACATGGAATCATGTAGTAACCAAAGTGTTAAACAAATCAAAATATATTTGAGATTCTTCAAATAGCCACCCTTTGCCTTGACAGCTTTGCACACTCTTGGCATTCTCTCAACCAGCTTCATGAGGTAGTCACCTGGAATGCATTTTAATTAACAGGTGTGACAAGATTGGGGGGGGTATACAGAAGATGGCCCTATTTGGTAAAAGACCACGTCCATATTATGGCAAGAACAGCTCAAATAAGCAAGGAGAAACGACAGTCCATTACCTGTCTATATAATATTCCAGAGTTGACAGTGCATGTCAGAGCAAAAACCAAGCCATGAGGTCGAAGGAATTGCCCGTAGAGCTCCGAGACAGGATTATGTCAAGGCACAGATCTGGGGAAGGGTACCAAAACATTTCTGCAGCATTGAAGGTCCCCAAGAACACAGTGGCCTCCATCATTCTTAAATGGAAGAAGTTTGGAACCACCAAGACTCTTCCTGGAGCTGGCCGCCCAGCCAAACGGAGCAATCGGGGGAGAAGGGCCTTTGTCAGGAAGGTGACCAATAACCCGGTGGTTACTCTGACAGAGTTCTAGAGTTCCTCTGTGGAGATGGGAGAACCTTCCAGAAGGACAACCATCTCTGCAGCACTCCACCAAATCAGGACTTTATGGTAGAGTGGCCAGACAGAAGCCACTCCTCAATAAAAGGCACGACAGCCCGCTTGGAGTTTGCCAAAAGGCACCTAAAGGACTCTCAGACCATGAGAAAGAAGATTCTCTGGTCTGATGAAACCAAGATTGAACTCTTACATCAGAATGACAAGCGTCACGTCTGGAGGAAACCTGGCACCATCCCTACGGTGAAACATGGTGGTGGCAGCATCATGCTGTGGGGATGTTTTTCATCGGCAGGGACTGGGAAACTGGTCAGAATTGAAGGAATGATGGTTGGCGTTTGAAATACAGGGAAATTCTTGAAGGGAAACCTGTTTCAGTCTTCCAGAGATTTGAGACTGGGACGGAGGTTCACCTTCCAGCAGGACAATGACCTTAAGCATACTGCTAAAGCAACACTCGAGTGGTTTAAGGGGAAACATTTAAATGTCTTGGAATGGCCTAGTCAAAGCCCAGACCTCAATCCGATTGAAAATCTGTGGTATGACTTAGATTGCTGTACACCAGCGGAACCCATCCAACTTGAAGGAGCTGGAGCAGTTTTGCAAAAATCCCAGAGGCTAGATGTGCCAAGCTTATAGAGACATACCCCAAGAGACTTGCAGCTGTAATTTCTGCAAAATGTGGCTCTACAAAGTATTGACTTTGGGGGGGGTGAATAGTTATGCACGCTCAAGTTTTCGGTTTTTAAAAATCGTATTTCTTGTATCACAAAAAAAAAATATTTTGCATCTTCAAAGTGGCAGGCATGTTGTGTAAATCAAATGATACAAACCCCCAAAAAATCCATTTTAATTCCAGGTTGTAAGGCAACAAAATAGGAAAAATTCCAGTGGGGGTGATTACGTTCGCAAGCCACTCTATAAGCCTTCTACAAGTTCTCATCTAACCAACCATGTATAGGTTAGTCCAAGTTTCTGTTTGGCCTTTGAATAGTGTTAGTTTAAACAGTGATACACCCCACACGTTTGCCCCCTGTTTTATTGATTTCAGCGTGATACCGATGGAAGTAAATAACAAAACAGGTGTTGCGTTAGATTTACCATGTTGGTGACCCACTTGTATCAAAATGCATCACTCCAAAATGTAGCTGATTGTCTTCTGCAGGTTGTTGTATAAGCAGTGATGCATAAAAAAAATGTATCCAGTTTCTGTGTATTTGTTAGTTTCAACAGCGCGTACAACCTAATTTCTCCACCTAATCGATATCAGTGATGTATTGCCACTTATCAAAACAACTGGGTTTTTGGTGTGTGCAGTTTTTAAGGTTCTGTAAAAAAAAAAAAATATATATATATATAAACAAACTGTTTTGGCATTGGGCTATTTATCAAAATGTCTTGTCAACAGGAAGCAGTTACAGCATTTTCAACTTAAGTTTTAGGAATATAAATTGAACTTTCAACATTCATTTCCATTGGTATTGTACTTAATCTTGTAAAAACTGCTGAATGAGTCCAACAATGTGCTGTGGTTAGTTTTATTTTGATATATCAAAAATCACCATAACTGGTTTGCCCTGCCTAATAAGGGGTTGGCTGCGCTGATAGGCTTGATCCGTGAGACACATTTGACAGAAGTACCAAAAGTAACAAATTCTAGTACCAAACCATTTTTTTTATGTTCTAGTATCTCAAAAGTACAGAAGTTTCGGTATACCGTTCAACACTGTGTGCGTTTGCTAGCTGTCACTCAAATGGCAAGGGGTTGACGCTCTGGCTGAAACTCAAATTTCTAGGGAGCTGGCCCACATTGGGGTAAATGCACAGCTTCAAGAAAAGTTGCTTTCAAACTATGGATTTCGGGGCTCATTGAGGTAAGACAGTAATTCTGCACATAGATTATGCATGTATGAACTACACAATGACACATCCAGCCCAAAGTGGTAGGTTTAAAAAAATACTTACTAGTCGCCAAAGTACCGGAGCATGTCTTTTAAAGGCTGTAAATTGTCTTCCTTCCAGGTGGTGACCGTGGTAGGGGTGGCCCAGGCATGCGCGGGCGCGGAGGGATGGACCGTGGTGGCCCTGGAGGCTTCCGTGGAGACAGGGGTGGTGATCGTGGAGGCGGATTCAGAGGACGTGGTGGCATGGAAAGAGGAGGCTTCGGAGGTAGGGGCCGTGGTGGCCCTCCCATGGATGACATGGGCGGCCGAGGCAGGAGGGGTATGGGACCCCCCGGCAAGATGATAGAAATTAAGTGAGTAAAGAATTATCCACATCCTCAGCTAGCTCCCATCAAACAAACCAGCTTCTAATGGACATTTGGGTTTCTCACATTTAACCCCCCACATAGTTTTAAATGTGTTGTAACTTGATGGCATTGTAATCAAATCTAATTTTATTGGTCACACACACATATTTAGCAGATGTTATTGCGGGTGTAGCGTAATGCTTGTAAGCAGTCCTGACACGATTACACACAGTTCCGAACAAAAAGGAAAACATTTACATTACATTTTAGTCATTTAGCAGACGCTCTTATCCAGAGCGACTTACAGTTAGAAAAGACTGAATGGGTTCAGAAAGCTGTCAGTTAATAAATCTGACAAATGTGTTCTTAACAGAAATGTTTATTCCCTCTCCAGGGGAGACCATCGCCAGGACCGCAGAGATCGTCCCTACTGAAGGATGCAACGCTTGCATAAATTCCCATGTCATACAGGATTAATTTTTTCAAGAACCTTTTAAACTTGTAACTCCATATTTATAAATGGTTAATTTGTGATGGCTCGGTAGTTAAACATCAGTGACCTTTTTTATTTTATACCAGTAGTATTCTTTTTTATTTTTTGGGTCTGGTTGAACATTTGTGAACCGGTGGCAAATGCATGCAGTCTCGTGTACAGATACATTATGGGAGATTTGTTTTTGTGTAACCTTGTAATAAGCAAATGTTTTTTAACCTATTATGCCCTCCATTCTCTGACAATGTTGAATAAAAAAAAAGTAAAATGTAGTCACTGGTTTGATCTTTAATGGGAAAAGGGTGGGTTGATAGTACTGGTTTAGTAATCGAATGATATTTTTTTTCACTCCAGATTAAATTGAATATTGGGGATTAGCTGGTTATGAGCTCTCTATGGACTGAATGTGTGAAAGTTATGCAGAATGTCTGCAGCCTGCCATGAAATTCAACCTGGTCTCAGAGCATTTTGTATTATTATGTACGTAAATCCATGCCACTCCATTTAGTATGATATGTTGCATTTGGTAATGTTACATAAGACTGATGGTTAATGGGTGGGCGTATAACACGAATGCCTAGCAACACAAAGGTTGCGAGTTCAAATCTCATCACGGACAACTTTAGCATTTGTGCTAATTAGCAACTTTCAACTACTTCTGAGCTATTTTGGAACTACTTAGCATGTTAGCTAACCTTAACTCTTTAAGCTATCCCTAACCTTAACCCTTTAACCTAACTCCTAAACTTAAGCCTAACTCCTAGCCACCTAGCTAGAAATTGGAACATATAACATTGTACGTTTTGAAAATTCATAATATATTGTAGGTTTTGCAAATTCGTAAAATAATATGAATTGTAATTCAGAACATATATACGAAATGACTAATGGACATCCACAAATTAATACATACCATACAAAACTTAACATATACTAAAAAAATGGAGTGTCCCTGATTTAAGTAAAGAATAATACGAAATGCTCTGAGATCACGTTGCGACCCTATGCACATGCTTACTCAAAAGAGTTGTAGGCTACATACATTGATTCCTCTTATCCTATGGCGACATCATGCTTCATACACTGGAAATGCAATAAAGCAGTCTTGTCATTCAGTGTCCTTAATTTTGCCGAAAAGTCATGTGAAATGTGACTGGAATTTAGTTTATCACGAGGCTAAATTTGGGTTGAAACGACACGTTGGAATTTTTCATAAACCAGTGTTTGACTTACAACTCCAGGATTTTTGCGGTCGACTCCGACTCCTGTGATTGGAGTCGAATTTTGCTCGACTCCCAAAACACGCTGAAACGGATGCGCACACACAACAAATCACATTTTATTTGTCACATGCGCCGAATAAAACAGGTTTAGACCTTACTGTGAAATGCTTACTTACAAGCCCTTAACCAACAACGCAGTTTAAGAAATGGTTAAGAAAATATTTACTAAATAAAATATAAAGTAACACAATAAATGTTACATAACAATAACGAGGCTATATTCAGGGGGTACAGGTACCGAGTCAATGTGCAGGGGTACAGGTTAATCGAGGCAATTTGTACATGTAGGTAGGGGTAAAGTGACTATGCATAGATAAACAGTGAGTAGCAGCAGTGTAAAAACAAAGGGGGTTCTTTGATTAATTCTTCAGCAGTCTTATAGCTTGGGGGTAGAAGCTGTTAAGGAGACTTTTGGACCTAAACTTGGCGCTCCGGTACCACTTGCCATGCGGTAGCAGAGAGAACAGTCTATGACTTGGGTGACTGGAGTCTTTGACAATTTTTTGGGCATTCCTCTGACACCGCCTTTTATTTAGGTCCTGGATGGCAGGAAGCTTGGCCCCAGTGATGTATTGGGCCGTACGCACTACCATCTGTAGCATCTTACGGTCGGATGCCGAGCAGTTGCCATACCAGGCAGTGATGCAACCGGTCAGGATGCTCTTGATGGTGCAGCTGTATAACTTTTTGAGGATCTGGGGACCCATGCCAAATCTTTTCAGTCTCCTGAGGGGGAAAAGGTGTTGTCGTGCCCTCTTCACGACTGTCTTGGTGTGTTTGGACCATGATAGTTTTTTGGTGGTGTGGACACCAATGAACTTAACTCTCGACCCGCTCCACTACAGCCCCGTCGATGTTAATGGGGGCCTGTTCGGCCCTCCTTTTCCTGTAGTCCACAATCACCTCCTTTGTCTTGCACACATTAAGGGAGAGGTTGTTGTCCTGACCTCCTCCCTATAGGCTGTCTCATAGTTGTCGGTGATCAGGCCTACCACTGTTGTGTCGTCAGCAAACTTAATGATGGTGTTGGAGTCGTGCGTGGGTGAACAGGGAGTACAGGAGGGGACTAAGCACACACCCCTGAGGGGCCCCGGTGTTGAGGATCAGCGTGGCAGATGTATTGTTGCCCTTACCATCTGGGGGCGGCCCGTCAGGAAGTCCAGGATCCAGTTGCAGAGGAAGGTGTTTAGTCCCAGGGTCCTTAGCTTAGTGATGAGCTTTGTGGGCACTATGGTGTTGAATGCTGAGCTGTAGTCAATGAACAGTATTCTCACATAGGTGTTCCTTTTGTCCATGTGGGAAAGGGCAGTGTGGAGTGCGATTGAGTGATAACCATCTCATTATTGCAGAGTCCTACTAGGAAGACAACATTTGCGTTCTAGAGGACTGCCATGAGCATGATGCTGCCATTTTCCTATAAAAGGCCTATTTTGTTTTGATATAGAAGGTGTGTGTAGGAACTATAATATTTCAGTGATATTTCTGATGTGTGCAGCCTTGACGGATCCCATGGGATGATGCTGCGCACTCTACGCTGATAAACCTATTATTTTCCATGTTATAGCCCTTTTCGGACGGGATTACTAGAGACGTTGGTTGTGTATTTATTATCCAAGCATGTACGTTATTCCAGAGGACGATTCACACAGGATTCGTTTTCCCTACTGCTCCCTGTCATTCTAATTTTTTTCAAATTGAATTGACTGTTATGATGGAAGCCTGGATGTTTTTATTGTAGGTGTGAAGATATTTCAACGTCATGTCTAGACGATAATAGGCTACACTGATAACTCGTGTTTGGCTGCTAAATGTATAGGTCTCCCCATAATATTTAAATTGATGAAGTGTGATTATAATGATTATTTTTTAGATCCCTCCATAGTAGACAACAATGCCCCATATCCTGCTGATTTGAGCTGCTGAACCGTATTTGCACCTGACTGTGTTTATGGTGAAAGTGAACTTGACATTTCCGAAAAGTTTAGCGGGGACGCTGCTTTGCGATGTTCTGGCTGTCTCTCTGCCTGCCCCGATCCTCTTTCTCCCTCGCCTGCTCCTCTTCCTCTTCCCTATAAAAAACACTTGTGTGTGTTTGGTCTTCGGTCTGTTGTGTGTAGAATAGCTCAGCCTACTGTACATGCCTACCTATGCCTGGCTGTGCCCCTCCCATCGCTCTCTCTCCCTCGATAGCTCGCTTTTTCTTTGCTGTGAAAGATGCGAGAGTTTGTGTTCTCGAAGTAGACTACGGAAAATAGTTTCATCCGTTGCAAAAATACTGAATCTTAGGAGTCGATTCCTAGCAGAATCGAAACTTGACACCCAGAAATTAGAGTCGACAACGGGAGTCGACGGGCAAGGAGTTGAGGAATCGATTATTTTGGAGTCGACTCCCCATCACTATTTACGTCACACACGCCCCTTACTCTCATCAGGACCATTGCTGAAGGCTCAGCTAGGTTAGGGGAGAGGGTTAAACACGCTCTCCATTCCTGTGGCAACCCCTCCATCTAGCTGAACTACTAATAGCTATTACAGTGGGTTATCTCGTCGGCGTTACTTGATGGGTGAAGCAGGTGCGGTGTTGGTCTTTCATAGGCAAGCTAGCTAGCAGTATCATCCTTCCACACAGAGCTAGCTACAGCTGTTGATTCCTCTGCTCTGACTCCATCTACCGCTGACAGTGGGGCAAATGAGTGAACCGGTGAAGAGTTTGCCTTCCCCTACTTCTTCAGGGGGGCAACCTGCGGGGTCTGACACCTACAAAGGCTGGCTGTATAAATGGACTAACTACTTGAAGGGCTACCAACGCCGCTGGTTCGTCCTTAGCAACGGCCTTCTGTCATATTACAGGTAATTGATAGCAGCTAGCTACGCTATCTACTGTTAAACGTCAAATCAGGCTAGCTAGCACTGCGTTAATCCTCCTAGCAAAATCAAGTGCAGTTTCAAACCAATCCCATAGTGACTGTAATTTTAGATGAATCATGTAGTTGACAGTCTATAGACTGTGCTTGACGTGCATAATTAATATAAATGCCGTAGCTTTTTAACTAACTTAGCTAGCTAGCTAGTTATGCCAATATTACTCACCAAAACAAGTATCTTATCTGTTTAGCTATGTGGCAATTGAGAACAGCATGCCATGAGCTTCAACCCATTCCCACAGGAAGGCAATTCTCTAGTCACAGTCAATGACATGGCATAAATGCAGAATGAGCTAGCTGGACACAATTAGCCAAACCCCCCAAAATATCTAGCTAGCTAGAAATGTATCAGACTCCAAATGAGTGAATATATATTTTCGCCAATATATGATATAGTCATTGATATTTTGGCAAATTTCATGTAGAGAATTGTTATAGATGAAGCTGTGAATAATATTTTAAGATTTTTAGATAATATTTTGGAACAGTTTTTACTTATTTATACCTAGATATCTTCTATTCCAGGAATGACTGTCATTGTATGTAGTGTAGTATGCTCTATGTAACAAGTAGGGGACCTACCTACGTCCTAACATTTCAGTATGATGATGATAATGTATGACATGTTTTACCTGATGCATCATGATGCTTTAGAAATGTGTGAATGTGTGGTCCACTGATTCAGTAAAGGCCAGTTGTTAGGCACACTTCCCTAAAACCAGTTAATAGTGAGTGATGTCAATCAATGTTATGCACTTTAATTCTGCATAAGTGTGCGTGCGTGCGTGCGTGTGTGTGCGTGTGTGTGTGTGTGCGCGTGCGGGCACACTTGGGCATCAGCACTTACCCCGGCTGCCCTACAGTCTCGGATGGGAATGCACGGCTCTGCTGTTACGTCATTCACAACAAAGAGAGATGGACACAGATAGAGAAAGTGAAATGCACAGAGGCAAGGACTGGTGGTGAATTCAAAAACTTCCATTCAGTCATTCAGTACCACAGACATACTCCAGCAACTGTAGCCTCCCCAAGGCTCCTTGGAGGGCATACCGTTTCAACACAGACTTAGAGCCTAATGGAGGAGCTGTCGTGTTCACTGTGTTTGTATATACAGTGGGGAAAAAAAGTATTTAGTCAGCCACCAATTGTGCAAGTTCTCCCACTTAAAAAGATGAGAGAGGCCTGTAATTTTCATCATAGGTACACGTCAACTATGACAGACAAAATTAGAAAAAAAAATCCAGAAAATCACATTGTAGGATTTTTAATGAATTTATTTGCAAATGATGGTGGAAAATAAGTATTTGGTCAATAACAAAAGTTTCTCAATACTTTGTTATATACCCTTTGTTGGCAATGACACAGGTCAAATGTTTTCTGTAAGTCTTCACAAGGTTTTCACACACTGTTGCTGGTTTTTTGGCCCATTCCTCCATGCAGATCTCCTCTAGAGCAATGATGTTTTGGGGCTGTCGCTGGGCAACACGGACTTTCAACTCCCTCCAAAGATTTTCTATGGGGTTGAGATCTGGAGACTGGCTAGGCCACTCCAGGACCTTGAAATGCTTCTTACGAAGCCACTCCTTCGTTGCCCGGGCGGTGTGTTTGGGATCATTGTCATGCTGAAAGACCCAGCCACCTTTCATCTTCAATGCCCTTGCTGATGGAAGGAGGTTTTCACTCAAAATCTCACGATACATGGCCCCATTCATTCTTTCCTTTACATGGATCAGTCGTCCTGGTCCCTTTGCAGAAAAACAGCCCCAAAGCATGATGTTTCCACCCCCATGCTTCACAGTAGGTATGGTGTTCTTTGGATGCAACTCAGCATTCTTTGAGTTTTGACCAAAAAGTTCTATTTTGGTTTCATCTGACCATATGACATTCTCCCAATCCTCTTCTGGATCATCCAAATGCACTCTAGCAAACTTCAGACGGGCCTGGACATGTACTGGCTTAAGCAGGGGGACACATCTGGCACTGCAGGATTTGAGTCCCTGGCGGTGTAGTGTGTTACTGATGGTAGGCTTTGTTACTTTGGTCCCAGCTCTCTGCAGGTCATTCACTAGGTCCCCCCGTGTAGTTCTGGGATTTTTGCACACCGTTCTTGTGATCATTTTGACACCACGGGGTGAGATCTTGCGTGGAGCCCCAGATCCAGGGAGATTATCAGTGGTCTTGTATGTCTTCCATTTCCTAATAATTGCTCCCACAGTTGATTTCTTCAAACCAAGCTGCTTACCTATTGCAGATTCAGTCTTCCCAGCCTGGTGCAGGTCTACAATTTGGTTTCTGGTGTCCTTTGACAGCTCTTTGGTCTTGGCCATAGTGGAGTTTGGAGTGTGACTGTTTGAGGTTGTGGACAGGTGTCTTTTATACTGATAACAAGTTCAAACAGGTGCCATTAATACAGGTAACGAGTGGAGGACAGAGGAGCCTCTTAAAGAAGAAGTTACAGGTCTGTGAGAGACAGAAATCTTGCTTGTTTGTGGGTGACCAAATACTTATTTTCCACCATAATTTGCAAATAAATTCATAAAAAATCCTACAATGTGATTTTCTGGATTTTTTCTCTCTCAATTTGTCTATCATAGTTGACGTGTACCTATTATGAAAATAACAGGCCTCTCTCATCTTTTTAAGTGGGAGAACTTGCACAATTGGTGGCTGACTAAATACTTTTTTCCCCCACTGTAGCCTAATGGGTTTTATGCATTGCTCCTTTGTAGATTTAACTATACTTTCTCTCTCTTTCCCCTCTCCTCTGTGGCATGTGTGTTTATGTAACTGTACTCTTGAGTACCACCACTGTATAAAGAGTTTATGCCCTAACCAACGCATGCACATTGCACCGACATGCACACACGAACACACTTACAAGCACTCACATCAGCTATGCTCAAGTATGCAGGTGTAACAAACCGTGAGATACTTCTATGAAATATTAAAACATTGCATGTGTGTGGATTTGTGCGTGTATGCATGCCCTGTTATGTGTCATTTCTGTCTTTCTAGAACTAGATGTAGTCAGCAGCCTCTTCTCCCCTGTCTCTGTGTGTGTACGTGTGTTTGTGTGTGTGTGTGTGTGTCTCTGTGCATTAGGACTCAGGCAGAGATGGCCCACACTTGCCGTGGCACCATCACCTTGGCGACGGCACACATTGAAGTGGGTGACGCCTGCCACCTGGTGCTGACCAGCGGAGGGCGGAACTACCACCTGAAGGCCACTTCCGATGGGGAGAGTCAGCGCTGGGTCTCGGCTCTCCAACAGGCTAAGGCCAACACCACTCACATGATGCACCAATCAGGTGCGAGCCAGAGGAAATCATATTTGGGAGGATTGGGAGGTTTTAAGTGGGAGAGTGGATAAAGAATGCTTAGCTTCATATATATTTAGAAATAAGGAAAGTAGGACAAAACTATATTAATTGTGGCTATACTGCTGTACAGAACACATTGATTTGTGACCCTGTTGAAAGGAATTGGACTATAGATTATGAAAAAATGATGTCAAATCAATATGAGACGCACTGGGATATTTGACCTTAGTGCTTTCTTCTCATTCAAGGTGAAAATGTATATTGGGACAATGACTAAACTTTAAAGCATCCACTACTTTTCTGAAAATTATAAGGTTTAGGACCTGAGGTAAACACATTTTAATGTAGCATTCTATGTCAAGGTTACCAGTGTCATTCATGCATCAACCACAAGGTGGTGCACTTGCTCAATAAATGGGACAAGTATTCAAGTTTTCTCTATATATAATGCAACATTTAAATATAATTATTTTGGTGGTTTGTTGTCTGTTCCCTTAAAATCTTCCAATGCTATCATGTGGCCTTTCTGCACATTGCATTGCTAAGTGGGCACACTGCTCTAGTGTCCTTTAAAATAAATTGGCTTGATTGAACTGTCTAATTCTGAGCTATGACTCCACCAATTGCTGGTCTCAGTCCAGGTCTCTGATTTGCACTTCGTGGGTATGTGGAAATTAGGGTGACTGCCAAGGATGGTGCAAAATGACCGTTTGTAATGGCGACCCAGTCTCTCTCGCCTACTCACTTTCTTCTACTCACTCTTTCACATCTAATTTCCATCTTCCCTCACATACACTACCAGTCAAAAGTTTTAGAACACCTACTCATTCAAGGGTTTTTCTTTATTTTTACTATTTTCTACATTGTAGAATAATAGTGAAGACATCAAAACTATGAAAGAACACATATGGAATCATGTAGTAACCAAAAAAGTGTTAAACAAATCAAAATATGTTTTATATTTCAGATTCTTCAAATAGCCACCCTTTGCTTTGATGACAGCTTTGCACACTCTTGGTATTCTCTCAACCAGCTTCATGAGGTAGTCACCTGGAATGCATTTCAATTAACAGGTGTGCCTTCTTAAAAGTTAATTTGTGGAATTTCTTTCCTTCTTAATGCGTTTGAGCCAATCAGTTGTGTTGTGACAAGGTAGGGGGGTATACAGAAAATAGCCCTATTTGGTAAAAGACCAAATCCATATTATGGCAAGAACAGCTCAAATAAGCAAAGAGAAATGACAGTCCATCATTACTTTAAGACATGAAGGTCAGTCAATACGGAACATTTCAAGAACTTTGAAAGTTTCTTCAAGTGCAGTCGCAAAAACCATCAAGCGCTTTGATGAAACTGGGGGTGTTTACAGAAGATAGCCCTATTTGGTAAAATACCAAGTCCATATTATGGCAAGAACAGCTCAAATAAGCAAAGAGAAATTACAGTCCATCATTACTTTAAGACATGAAGGTCAGTCGATACGGAAAATGTCAAGAACTTTGACAGTTTCTTCAAGTGCAGTCGCAAAAACAATCAAGCGCTATGATGAAACTGGCTCTCATGAGGACCACCACAGGAATAGAAGACCCAGAGTTACCTCTGCTGCAGAGGATAAGTTAATTAGAGTTACCAGCCTCAGAAATTGCAGCCCAAATAAATGCTTCACAGAGTTCAAGTAACAGACGCATCTCAACATCAACTGTTCAGAGGAGACTGTGTGAATCAGGCCTTCATGGTCGAATTGCTGCAAAGAAACCACTACTAAAGGACACCAATAAGAAGAAGAGACTTGCTTGGTCCAAGAAACACGAGCAATGGACATTAGACTGGTGGAAATGTGTCCTTTGGTCTGGAGTCCAAATTGGAGATTTTTGGTTCCAACCGCCGTGTCTTTGTGAGATGCGGTGTGGGTTAACGGATGATCTCCGCGTGTGTATTTCCCACCGTAAAGCATGGTGTGGGGTGCTTTGCTGGTGACACTGTCTGTGATTTATTTAGAATTCAAGGCACACTTAACTAGCATGGCTACCACAGCAGTCTGCAGCGATATGCCATCCCATCTTGTTTGGTCTTAGTGGGACTATCATTTGTTTTTCAACAGGACAATGACCCAACACACCTCCAGGCTATGTAAGGTCTATTTTACCAAGAAGGAGAGTGATGGAGTGCTGCATCAGATGACCTAGCCTCCACAATCCCCCGACCTCAACCAAATTAAGATGGTTTGGGATGAGTCGGACCGCAGAGTGAAGGAAAAGCAGCCAACAAGTGCTCAGCATATGTGGGAACTCCTTCAAGACTGTTGTAAAAGCATTCCAGGTGAAGCTGGTTGAGAGAATGCCAAGAGTGTGCAAAGCTGTCATCAAGGCAAAGGGTGGCTATTTGAAGAATCTCAAATATAAAATATATTTTGATTTGTTTAACTTTTTTGGTTACTACATGATTCCAAATGTGTTATTTCATAGTTTTGATGTCTTCACTATTATTCTACAATGTGGCCTCCTGTAGCTCAGTTGGTAGAGCATGGCGCTTGCAACGCCAGGGTTGTGGGTTCGATTCCCACGGGGTGACAGTATGAAAAATGTATGCACTCACTAACTGTAAGTCGCACTGGATAAGAGCGTCTGCTAAATGACTAAAATGTAAATGTAAAAACCCTTGAATGAGTAGGTGTTCTAAAACCTTTGACCGGTAGTGTACCTGCTCTCGAATTTCCTCTCTACCCCTCTCTCTGTCTCTCCCTCCCTCTCCCTTTTTTCTGAATATGACGACAGCCAGAGTTGAATGAAGTGATCTTCCAGCATTTTAACTCCTCCTCCCACTCCGCTATGGAGAGGGAAAGAGAGGAGGAAGCAAGAGAAGGTGAAGGAGAGAGAGGCAGGGGAGAGAGAGGGAGGGTTGCTTCATATTTACATTGAGACAATTTTCTCTCCGTCTGCACTGTAAGGAGAAGAGAAAGAGATTTGAATGCAGCCTCCGTAATGAATTTTCCTCTGTAAGTATTTATTACCTGCAATAATTATATTGAGGACAGAAATGTCAAGTAAGCTATAGTGGAGGGGTGTGTGTGTGTGTGTGTGTGTGTGTGTGTGTGTGTGTGTGTGTGGATTCATTCCCTGTGTTGTAATGTAATGTGTTTTTCTTTTGTCATGCTAATTCACTTTGACAGTAAGTGGGGTAGGCTTATTTCTGGATGGGACTTTACTAGTGTGTGTGTCTATGAACTGTGATAGATTTCCCAGTAGTGTTGCACAAGACTGATGAGCTGAACACCAATCAACCTCATTGGGGCCCTTGTTTAATTTTTCAGCTGCACAATGGGACAAGTGTGATTTACCTGCTACTTTGTTATTTGGCATCTTTTATATGTTCGCTTTTCTTGGCGGAGATGCTGAGTCAAAGCTCCCTCTTTTTCCTCCTTACTGATTTGAACTGACCTAAATATGAGAGATAATGGTGGTAATAGGTCTATTAAATGTAAAGCATGTTTTTCTACAGATAGGGTTTATGACTGATTTTCTCGGGGCTCTGCATTCATAGGAGAGGGGTGGGCCTCTGCCTCTGTCCCCAGTATTCTTACCCTCTGGAAGGTTTGTTTGTCTGTGTATGCTTGTGTGTTTATGGACATGGGTTTGAACTTTAAAGTCCTCTGTTGCTTTGACCATTATTTAACAAGTCAGTTAACAAATTCTAACAGTCTGGCAAATGGTGAGTCAGGCAAGTCAGTTAAGAACAAATTCTTATTTACAACATATTCTTATTTACAATAACAGCCTGGCAAGTGGCTAGGGTCGGTGCAGCCAAACAAACATATGTAGCAATTAAAGCTAGGCTAAGTCAACAGGATTTGAAGGGTCTGAGCCCATTTAGATGGTTTTACATTTTCCCATGGCTCAGAAAGACTGCTTACACTACAGAAATGCAGTACAGTGGACACTGATGGTGCAATAATGGTTATGTCAGTAAACGTACAGTTATGACTATAACTACTGTTCCCTGAAGGAGGGAAATGAGGTAGAACACAGCTATGGGGAGTTCGCGGGCTAGCGCCCTCTACTGAAGAACATTAGAATCACGCCTGACAAGGCCAATGAACACCGTGCCTCACCGGAAGCCCCGCCTTCCACTGGTGATAAACCCGAGGCACGGATGAATTCCTTCAATTCAGTATCGCTCTTCACTGAGCCCAGAACTAGGCAGTGCGAGGCCAAACGTGTTCTACCTCGTTTCCCTCCTTCAGGGAACAGTAGTTATAGTCATAACTGTACCTTCCCTTTCAGTCTAACAACATAGCTATGGGGACATGAAATCAATCCCTAAGCCGACCCCAGCGGACAACAAATGAAATGGCCCACTGCAGACCACCCAGAGCCCGTAATGAAAACCTGCGGTACCTGGTTATTGTTCAATCTGCGCGCTGCTTAATGACTCTCTTCTGCCCCAGCCGTTAGGTAATCCCTGCCTTTTTGCTGTCATATGCCAGAGAAATAGCCTCCACAATCCAGTGGGAGAGACGCTGCTTAGAAAGCGCTCTGCCATGAGTCGGATTAGCAAATCAGACACAAGTTGGTTACACAAACGGACACCCCTGGTTCGCTCAATGTACATGCGTAGCTCTTGTACCAGACACAGGGCATGTAACCTCCACTGCTCCTCGGAAGCAAACGGAGGAAGCGAAAAGCTCAAAAGCTAGAGACCTGTAGGACATAGTCATGACCTTAGGGGCGAAGGCCGCATTAGGACGCAATGTCACCTTCAAGTCGCCAAGGGCGAACTTCATACAGGAGGGGTGAATGCATAACACGTGGAGATCTCCAACGCGTTTAGCCGAGGCTAAAGCCACAAGCAGGGCGGTCTTGTAGGAGAGGATCTTCAGATACACAGACTCCATTGGTTGAAAGTGGGCTCACACAGCACATCCAAAACCAAAGCCAAATCCCAAGTGGGCACAATAGGTTTACAAACTGGCCTCAGACAGCGCACAGCTTTTGTAAAAGCTGCACCGCCAGGGGATGAGCCGCTGGAGCGGCACCATCAATTCCCACATGACATGCTGAAATAGCTGCCATTTACACCTTCATAAAAATGTCCACCAGAGAGCTCTGAAAAGGAACAATTCCTTTATTTTGTCACCAATGCTCGAACACTTATACTCATACAACCCTCTCGTGGAGGGTGACCTTGCGGACTGTATAGTAGTGTTAGCGTTACAAAGGTAAACCCTTTGCCATAAGATTGGACCTTTAAGGGTCCAAGCCCACAGACTCCAAATCTCTGGCCGTGGGTGCCAGACCTGCCCATGTGCCTGGGACAACAGGTCCCTGCGCAATGGGAGTTGCCACGGGTCCCCGCCTAAAAGGCAAATGATCTCCGCGAACCAAGGTCATTTGGACCAACGGGGAGCCACAAGGATCAAAGACCTCCAGACGCACCCACTCCAGCATGGGCTGAATCAGGTCTACTTGGGGAAATGTGCAAAGGAGTGTCTGAGGCCACTAGCGTCCGAGGCCACTGGTGCGTGAGAGCATCCGTTCCCAGCAGAGCACAGGTCCCTTATTGAGAAAAACAGCCGACCATACGCAAAGATCTATGTCGACCCTGGGAGACCCCTGAGAACTGGACCCCCCCCCAGATATCAGATTCGCACCCATGTTGAGCCGCCTGGGAAGATGCGTCGCCCGGAGCAAGGGAAAGTGTGCACTGCTCCACAGCAGTAGGGAGTGAGCTAAGGATAAGAGGGGTCGAGACCGCACCCCTCCCTGTCTGTTGATGTACGCTCCCACTGTCCCGCTGTCGGTTCTCACCAGCACATGCTGGCCGGCCAACAACGGGACAAAGCGCATGAGTGCTATGTACACCATCAAAAGCTCCAGGTAACTGATGTGCGACACTGTCCACAACCCCTGAATTAAGCTTCCCTCGCACGGCATCTGTTGTGATCACCTTACGGGTCCCTCCACCGAACCAGAGCCTGTAGGCAGGACGGGGACACCTGGAGTGAGCCGTTTAGGTGGGCCGATGCGTCCAAGCGAGTGTCTATCGCCTACTGCTGGAAAGGTCGCATCAGCAACAGCCCAGAGGGAACCACTGCTATCATAGAAGCCATCATCCCTAATAGGTGCAGGCACTGGTGAAAACGCAATAGGTGACCTAGCCAAAATTGGACCAAGCAAAGCCGTAAACCGGCCTCTCTCTGCGGGGACAAGAAGGCACGATTCTCGACTGAGTCTAACTCGAGACCCAGAGACGGAATGCGCTGAGATGGAGTCAAATAGCTCTTCTCTTGATTCACTATGAAACCCTGAGACTGAACATGGGAAACCAGCATGGATGCATGTAACACCACATGCTCCCTCGACTCCGCTACCACCAGCCATTCGTCCAGGTAGTCCAATATACTGAGCCCCAGACATTGCATAGGTGCCAAACTCGCCTCCACAACTTTAGTGGAAGTGTGAGGCGAGAGGGAAAGCCTGAAAGGGAGGACCAGAACTCGTAGGCTACTGCCTTGAAATGGAAACTCAGGAACTTTCCTGTGAGGGGGATACATGGCCACATGAAAGTACTCGTCCTTCAGGTTGATGGAGGTGAACCAATCGCCCGGGTGCACTGACTATAACAACCGGTTGTTCGTGAGCATTCTGAATTTGTAGACCCTGAAGTGGATTTATCCCCTGTGGAAGGTGGGCTTCCGGTGAGGCACAGTGTTCATTGGCCTTGTCAGGCGTGATTCTAATGTTCTTCAGTAGAGGGCGCTAGTGTACAAACTCCCCTTAGCTGTTTTGTACCGAGTTGACCGACTGAAAGGGAACTAGCTACATTACTCTCACAAAGTTGTGTTGTACCGAGTTGACCGACTGAAAGGTAACTAACTACATTACTCTACCAAAGCTGTGGATTTTAATTGAGTATCAGTCTTATGGTCTCTGCTCTAATTCCCTGGTCACTGAGGTTGGGCACCAGTAAGGAGCTGCCACCATATTAAGGAGCTGTAAATCCGAACAGTGACTGATATTGTTCTGGTATTGTTCTGTCCCATCAGAAGTTCACCAGATTGGGGTTTAGATTGGGGTTTACTGAAGTCATTTGTGTGTGCGTGTACGAGCGTGCTTGCGAGCGCAAGAGTGTACTGGCTATATAGGCTATGTGTGTGTTTGTGTGTGATCGGGTTTTGGATGATTGATTATTATAACTACAGAGGTCTTCTGTAATGACATCATAGGTGATAATAGATTTGCACGGCAGTTATTTTAAATGGATTGTAGCTCTGCTGCGATCTACATCATCTGTCAGGGTCTTAATGTATTCTAGTAACAGCAGCAGTCTCTCCTCTTCCTGGCATCTTTTCTGTCTCCGTCCCTATTGTGGGTGCCCTCTCCATCAGCTGTAGGGGTGGATCATAGTGAGTCACACACAAGTCATTCAGATGTCTCAGGATCAGGGCCAACAAGCGCAATCTCCAACAATTATCTGCTGACGTGTGACTGATGTGTACTTAACGATCGCACACACAAACACACCATGCAGCCCTCCTCCTGTCCTAATGTATTGCAGATATTACTCACAGTCCATTTAGACTACATTATCACAGTATGTGTCTTAGCAGGGGTGTGCCTCTTCATACAGACATGTTTTGGTGACTATGTAGATGCAGTTGTAAACTACCTGGTGTCATAGCACTACCATGTATCTGTGTGTGTGTGTGTGTGTGTGTGAGTGAGAGAGAGATATATATCTCCTGGGCACTCTTATTTTTCTCTCTCCCCCTGTGCTGTATATGGGTCATCGGACCAATGCAGATGCCTGAAGGAGTTTTTACTCTCTCATTTTTAGTTCTTCACTGTGCACTGGTGCTCCAAGGCTATCTGCCTGACACTGGCCTAGATTCAGAAAACCTACCTGCCTGAATGGGAGATTGTAGCTTATATATGAATGCATGTGTCACGTGAAGCAGGCAAATGCAGAAGATGATGGATTTGGCCCAGATCTGGGTTTTTGCGGTAGGACCTACTGTAGGCATTTGTGATATTTACATTGTTTATGCTGACATTTACTCACAACCACTGGAGTCACAACAGTTTGACCCAGTTGTAGAAATATCCCTATGCAAATGAGAAGCCTACTATTTATATCTCTCCATTTAAAGAGTCATGGTTTTGGAAAGTTATTTGTAGATATCACTTGTAGTGTCAGTAGTACGTTAGAGTTCTGAAGTGTCAATGATGTAGACTCTAGGTGACTTTGTTGTTGTTGTAGTATGCAGATGGCAGGGTTAGGGAGACCTAGGTGACCATGGCGGGTGTTCAGACACCAGACTCCAGCAGCTCTGAGATGTCTGTAACACTGCTGCTCTTTCTCTCACTGAGAAGTCCTTTCTCTGGGCTCCTCAAGGTCCATATAATGATCCCTCCCCAGGAATATGTCTGTGTCTGCTGGTACTGGCCTATTTATTTCCTCTCAGTTGCCTGTGACTGATGGCCCCGTTCATACCAACACGGGAAGTGAGCAGAGGGAAGTGAGCAGAGGGACGTGAGCAGAGGGACGTGAGCAGAGGGAAGTGAGCAGAGGGACGTGAGCAGAGGGAAGTGAGCAGAGGGACGTGAGCAGAGGGACGTGAGCAGAGGGAAGTGAGCAGAGGGACGTGAGCAGAGGGAAGTGAGCAGAGGGAAGTGAGCAGAGGGACGTGAGCAGAGGGAAGTGAGCAGAGGGACGTGAGCAGAGGGACGTGAGCAGAGGGAAGTGAGCAGATGGACGTGAGCAGAGGGAAGTGAGCAGAGGGACGTGAGCAGAGGGACGTGAGCAGAGGGACGTGAGCAGAGGGAAGTGAGCAGAGGGACGTGAGCAGAGGGAAGTGAGCAGAGGGACGTGAGCAGAGGGAAGTAAGCAGAGGGAAGTGAGCAGAGGGACGTGAGCAGAGGGAAGTGAGTAGAGGGAAGTGAGCAGAGGGACGTGAGCAGAGGGAAGTGAGCAGAGGGAAGTGAAGTGCGTCATCCTTTTTCTCCCTCCGCTGCTAAAAATAACCCCAGCCCTGCAATTGCGTGGGCCTGTGTTTCCATGGCAACCGTGGAAATGTAATTCACAGCTTTCTGCTGGCGAGGGGGGTGGTGGGGGTGGGGGGTTGGGGGCAACGACAGTGTGTAGAGTTAATATATCTTTATCTCTCTGCATCTTTCTTTCCATCCCCCACACTCACACTCTCTCCATCTATTCCTATACGTGATTTCACATCTCCGTAATAGCTCTCCATCGATCCCTCCCTTTCCTTTGTCTCCATGTCTATTTGTCAGTGAGAAGTTGTTTTATATCTGCGTGCGTCACAATTATAAGTGTCCGCAGTATCTCTGCCTCATCTTCTTGGTACATAATGGAAACTTAAATGAGTGTGACCGTCCTAGGGCATGAAAGAAAATAACACTTTCCACCCTCAAAATCAATCATAATGTCTTCCACTTACAGACTGAATCAAGCTATAAGTGCTATTCTAAGAATCTGGCTTCGTAAGCAAATGCCTGAATGAATGGTAACTCAGTGCTGCACCCTCTAACTCTGCCTTCCAATCTGTCTGGTCTGCAGATGACTCTGGAGACGAGGCCCCCGTGCCCCATCCGGACCGGGCCCTGACCCAGGGGGCACTGAAGAACCTGGCCAGTAAGCTGGACGACCTGAGCACCTGCAACGAGCTAATCGGCAAACACGGCACCGCCCTGCAGCGATCCCTCAGCGAGCTCGAGGACCTGCGCACGGCCACTGACGGCACCGACAAACTCAAGACCGTCAACGAGCGTGCTACACTCTTCCGCATCACCTCCAATGCTATGATCAATGTGAGGACCGACTCACTGCTGCTAACACTTTGCTAACATTTCAGTACAACGCCTACCGGCTACTTCAATCGACCGTTCAGTATGACCAATGCTAGTAGTCAATCTAATGCTTTAATCAATACAACATTAAGAACTCTTAATACCATGATATATATAAGTGTTTATTACTAATTGACTGTATGGTAGAGCTATGCTCTGTAGATGTGTTATTGATGTATTGTCACCTCTGTGGCTGCAGGCCTGTCGGGACTTCCTGGACGTAGCGGAGACACACAGCCGGAAGTGGCAGAGAGCCCTGCAGTATGAGAGAGAACAGCGCCACCACCTGGAGGAGACTATTGAACAGCTAGCCAAGCAGCACAACAGCCTGGAGAGGGCCTGGAGAGAGGCTCCCAGCACACACCCAGGTCAGAGGCACACACACACAAACAAGCAGTCGGTTCTCTCCTCTCATATTTGATAGTGCAACTGATTAGAAAACATTGTCTATGGTTTAAGCTCTTACTGTAAAGGTAGTTTGGTGCAGTTTATTGCTTGGTATGGATTGGAATCTCACAAGAAGCTGGCCCTCCTTTGGTCATCCCTGGCACTGCACTCACAGTAGGCACTGCATCATAGTGTGATGATGTCGCTGGTTTGTCTTTCAGAATTTCATTTATATCATACATGCACTCAGGTTAGAAAATCCGATCTACACAAACAAAAACACTTAACTCAAACTGTAATGATCTTGTGTCCCTGGCAGACGGGGGTGAGAGGACGCAGGAGGGGGATGAGAATGAGGACACAGAGTTTTTTGATGCCATGGAGGACTCCCCTGCTTTCATCACAGTGACCGCCACTGACCACACCCAGCACAGGTCAGTCAGGGTCGCTGGGATGAAACCCTGATGAAGGAAGCTTGCTGTTGAAATGTTACTTAAATTGCATCGGAGCCGTGAGAGTATGTGGCTTTTCTTTTCTCAGTCAGGGTCACTGACCTAATTTCTACTGATCATGGGGCCAAGTAGATTTAATTCATATAGCTATGTAATATGACGATGCTAGTATAATTCATTATACTTCTTTATGTCTAATGAATTCATTATACTGTGTTTTGTGTATACGGTAGTCATAGTGTGTTTGTGTTTCAGACGCTCAGGCAGTAACCAGAGTATCATGAGTGGAGGATTACCCAATAATGAATGGAGCCACGACGAGAAGGTGAGCCTGCAGGCTTCTGCTCTTTACCACTCCTTTACATACAGAGCCTTAGTAAACCATGGACAACTCTATCTTACCCTGTATCTTACCTTAGGGCCTAAGGGATTGTATGATACAATACGTAAGGATGAGATAAGATTTGTTGAGGTCTATCCTATAATATCTCAGCTTACCTGACTGTTTGACATGTATTTGTTCTCAGGACGCTGGTTCCAACAACATGCAGCTTCGCAGAGTTAGACGCAGCCGCATCCCAGACAAACCCAATTACTCCCTCAACTTGTGGAGCATCATGAAGAACTGCATTGGCAAGGAGCTGTCCAAGATTCCCATGCCTGTAAGAGAAAGGAGAACTGACTATGCGGTCTGTACTAGTGTTTGCACTATGTAGTGTGTGTGTAGTAAATGCAAGCTCTAGCAATCAATCACATTTATTTTATAAAGCCCTTTTTACATCAGCAGTTGTCACAAAGTGCTTTACAGATACCCAGCCTAAGCAATGCAGAGGCAGAAGCACAGTGACTCTGTAGAAGGCAGGAACCAGGCTCCAAGGGGTAACTCTGTAGAAGGCAGGAACCAGGCTCCAAGGGGTGGCCAGTCCGCTTCTGGCTGTACCGGTTGGAGATTTTAGAGGCCATTACGGCCAGATTGTTTTTCAAGACTGGTTCATAGATGACCAGCAGGGTAAAATAATAACCATGGTGGCTATAGAGCAAGGGTATTCAAATCTGCTGGTTTTCTGTTCTACCTGATAATTAATTGCACCCACCTGGTGTCCCAGGTCTAAATCAGTCCCTGATTAGAGGGGAAGAATGAAACAAAGCAGTGGAAATGGCTTCGAAGTCCAGATTTGAGGGCTATAGCGGGTGCAACAGTTCAGCAACTCAGGAGTCAATGTCAGTTGGCTCTAACTCCAATGTGGGTGTGTGCCTGCCTGCGTGTGTAACCTCAGGTGAACTTCAACGAGCCCCTGTCGATGCTGCAGCGTCTGACTGAGGATCTGGAGTACAGTGACCTGCTGGACCGGGCGGCTCGCTGCGAATCATCCCTGGAACAGATGTGCCTGGTGGCAGCCTTCTCTGTGTCCTCCTACTCCACCACCATACACCGCACTGCCAAGCCCTTCAACCCCCTGCTGGGGGAGACCTACGAGCTGGACCGCCTGGACGACTTCGGCTACCGCTCCATCTGCGAGCAGGTCAGACACAACGCACACACACACACAAACACACAGACTCTCTCTCTCTCTCTCTCTCTCTCTCTCTCTCTCTCTCTCGCTCTGAAACTTATGTCTGAGATGCACAGAGGGATCTTTCTAGAAATAATGGGACCAATGTGTGACATTGGTATCAACATTTCTAAATGGTTTGAAACTAAAATAAAAAAAGATTTTCATTCAGTTCCACATGAGGAATAAAAGTAAATATACAAATTGGCCCATAACTCCACCTATACAACAACATAGGCTTAGGACTATACACCCTTTAAGCAAAGTTCATACAAACATTGGCAAGTCAAATTTTTCAAGCTCTTAATTGTAATTTTCAAGGACCTCAATGTTAAACAATAGTATAATTTATATAATTGTACATATAGGGCGTAAAATAGACCCTCCCCCCCCAAAACAAAGTATGAAAAAAGTAGGCCATTACCACTAAGAAGAACGATGCATTGCCAATGCATTGATATTCAAATTATGATATTCTAAAATATGTGACAATAATGTGAACATTGCCTGACTAAATAGATTGGATGCATGCCTGGCGATTCTTCTGTAGCCTATGTGGCTGACGCAGGCACACATAATAGAGCGATGAATAGTGGTAGCATTAATCTCACCTTTTAAATCTCACCATCGCTGTTTTTATCATGAGAAAGTGACCAAAAACCATGTTCTTTTTTTTAATGGAAGGATTTGTATGGAAAACCAAGTTGAAGCCAACATTAAATGTTGTCGTCCTTGTAATAATATGAGGACGACAACATTGAAGTGGCGGGAAACAACATCCTCACAAAAACGGATCAAAAATGAAATCAGGGATAATTATAAGGGAGCAGGAGAACTTATAAATTGTCTACAATAATTACAAGGACTTTTCAAGCACCAAATTGAGGAAATGTCTGATTTTCAAGGTAGGCCTATTCCAGTACTTGAATTGTGTTATTTCATTACCAGATCATATTGTGAATAAGCCCACTAGGCTATGTAATTTGTTGTCATTATATCCAGAATAATTCATAGGAATAGCGTCTATCCTAACAATTGTGCACACTAGACTCGGTGTCCAAACCGAGGCACAAAAACATATGAAAACACGAACTCATTACCTTGATGCTTTCTCTGGTAAATCTAATGAGCCCCTGCTGTAAATCAAGCAGACAGCAACAGATGATCAACATCAATTCACTAGGGATATTAGATCCAACGTGGATCCAGCCACAACTGTCTTCAATGGCGTAATGAATGAGACAACAAAATATTTTGGACATTCTTCCGGAACACCTTTTTTCCAGCACTTGGGCTGTTGTTGTATAGCATGCTCTATCACAACAGCTGTTCGTCACTTGACTGTCATTCGGAAGAATTCCTTCCTGGATCAGATGATGATGTGTGAAAATATCAAGGTGTAACTAATCAGCTGGACACCAAAAGCGCATCCAACAAGTATTATGCATAATTATTGAAGAACCACATTAATGATAGTATCGATTTAAGTTTTAAGTATCAAGGAAAGGTGACTTTTGGTCAGAAGCATTCGATTTTGCAATCGCATACATTATTTTGGATTTGTGTGCGCATGAAAACTGAGATCTCTACAAAAAACTGTCCGACAGCTAGATCCAGGATTCTTACATGTTTCAAGTTCAATGTCTAATTTAACTGATTAATGATTAATGGATGATATTTCAACAACTTACACTGCCATAAATGCAAGGACAGAAAAGTAATGTTTTATGTCACACGATTTTGGAAAGATCCATCAAGAGACCAACCATGATAAAGAGCTAAAAATAGGTTTTAAATCAACTCGTGAATTTTATTGAATATAGCTATGATCCCCCGTTATATCTTAATGTAATGACATGAAAAATTTTTTGCTGATTATTATCAATGACTTATCCACTGCTGTAACAAGTTGTCCAGTGTAGGAAATCCTCACTAGTACCCTAGTTTATAGAAAGACCCAGAGACAGACAGAATAAGGTCTAGTACCCCACACACCACTGACTAGGTGTGACAAATAGAAAACATTTCGTAACTTTTAAACTGTCATCTTTTTATTGGTTTTCCGTTAAAACGATAAGAAAAAATAATACATTTCCATGTGAATTCACAAAGCAGCTGCGCTGCTGCCAGCAATGTTTTGGGTTTCACAGTGCGTCCCTTTCAGATGGTTAAGCATTGCACCTGTACTACCAAATCAAATCAAATCAAATATTATTGGTCACATACACATATTTAGCAGATGTTATTGCGGGTATAGCGAAATGCTTGTGTTCCTAGCTTCAACAGTGCAGTAGTATCTAACAATTCACTAAAATACAAACAAATCTAAAAGTAAAAGAATAGAATTAAGAAATATATAAATATTAGGACGAGCAATGTCGGAGTGGCATTGACTAAAATACAGTAGAATAGAATACAGTATATACATATGAAATGAGTAAAGCAGTATGTAAACATTATTAAAGTGACTAGTGTTCCATTATTAAAGTGACCAGTAATTCCATGTCTATGTACAGTTGAAGTAGGAAGTTTACATACACTTAGGTTGGAGTCATTAAAACTCGTTTTTCAACTACTCCACATATTTCTTGTTAACAAACTATAGTTTTGGCAAGTCGGTTAGGACATCTACTTTGTGCATGACACAAGTAATTTTTCCAACAATTGTTTACAGACCGATTATTTCACTTATAATTCACTGTATCACAATTCCAGTGGGTCAGAAGTTTACATACACTAAGTTGACTGTGCCTTTAAACAGCTTGGAAAATTCCAGAAAATGATGTCATGGCTTTAGAAGCTTCTGATAGGCTAATTGACATAATTTGAGTCAATTGGAGGTGTACCTGTGGATGTATTTCAAGGCCTACCTTCAAACTCAGTGCCTCTTTGCTTGACATCATGGGAAAATCAAAAGAAATCTGCCAAGACCTCAGAAACAAAATTGTAGACCTCCACAAGTCTGGTTCATCCTTGGGAGCAATTTCCAAACGCCTGAAGGTACCATGTTCATCTGTACAAACAATAGTATGCAAGTATAAACACCATGGGACCACGCAGCCGTCATACCGCTCAGGAAGGAGACGCCTTCTGTCTCCTAGAGATGAACGTACTTTGGTGCGAAAAGTGCAAATCAATCCCAGAACAACAGAAAAGGACCTTGTGAAGATGCTGGAGGAAACAGGTATCTATATCCACAGTAAAACGAGTCCTATATCGACATAATCTGAAAGGCCGCTCAGCAAGGAAGAAGCCACTGCGCCAAAACCGTCATAAAAAAGTCAGACTACGGTTTGCAACTGCACATGGGGACAAAGATTTGGAGAAATGTCCTCTGGTCTGATGAAACAAAAATAGAACTGTTTGGCCATAATGACCATCGTTATGTTGGGAGGAAAAAGGGGAAGGCTTGCAAGCGGAAGAACACCATCCCAACCGTGATGCACGGGGGTGGCAGCATCATGCTGTGGGGGTACTTTGCTGCAGGAGGGACTGGTGCACTTCACAAAACAGATGGCATCATGAGGAAGGAATATTATGTGGATATATTGAAGCAACATCTCAAGACATCAGTCAGGAAGTTAAAGCTTGGTCGCAAATGGGTCTTCCAAATGGACAATGACCCCAAGCATACTTCCAAAGTTGTGGCAAAATGGCTTAAGGACAACAAAGTCAAGGTATTGGAGTGGCCATCACAAAGCCCTGACCTCAATCCTATAGAAAATTTGGGGGCAGAACTGAAAAAGCATGTGCGAGCAAGGAGGTCTACAAACCTGACTCAGTTACACCAGCTCTGTCAGGAGGAATGGGCCAAAATTCACCCAACTTATTGTGGGAAGCTTGTGGAAGGCTACCTGAAACGTTTGACCCAAGTTAAACAATTTAAAGGCAATGCTACCAAATACTAATTGAGTGTATGTAAACTTCTGACCAACTGGGAATGTGATGAAATAAATAAAAGCTGAAATAAATCATTCTCTCTACTATTATTCTGACATTTCACATTCTTAAAATAAAGTAATGATCCGAACTGACCAAAGACAGGGAATTTTTACTAGCATTAAATGTCAGGAATTGTGAAAAACTGAGTTTAAATGTATTTGGCTAAGGTGTATGTAAACTTCCAACTTCAACTGTATATAGGGCAGCAGCCTCTAAGGTGCAGGGTTGAGTAACCGAGTGGTAGCTGGCTAGTGATGGCTATTGATGGCCGTCAGGAAGTCCAGGACCCAGTTGCACAGGGCGGGGTTCAGACCCAGGGCCCCGAGCTTAATGATGAGCTTGGACGGTACTATGGTGTTGAAGGATGAGCTATAGTCAATGAACAGCATTCTTCCATAGGGAGTCCACTTGTCCAGATGGGATAGGGCAGTGTACAGTGCGATGGCGATTGCATCGTCTGTGGATCTATTGGGGCCGTATGCAAATTGAAGTGGGTCTAGGGTGTCAGGTACCATTATTGTACCTCAATTCCACCTCGCAAAGTTTGCATTTCCATCTCATTTAACTTCTCAAAGTATTGCCATACAGGACTTCGCTGCTGTTGCTTGCATTTGTCTGTAATTCTTCTAACTCTTAACGACGATGACGTATTGGTGGAGAGTCGACTCCAAAATAATTGATTCCTCTACTCCTTGCACGTCGACTCTCATTTCTGAGTGTCAAGATTCGATTCCACTAGGAATCGACTCCTCAGATTCAGTATTTTTGGAACGGAGAACACTTTCACAAACACTTGCATCTTTCATAATGAGCTAGCGAGAGACGGAGAGAGAAGGCAGGTTGGCCACCAGGCAGACTGAGTCAGAACCGTTCACTAGGCATATCTATCGGCAATCAAAACCGGTAACTCGCAATGGAATGCTGTATCTCTCAATTTCTTGGCTTGCAATGTCTCGCAACTTCAGTAAAGCAGGGCCTATCATCAATGAATAGGATATTCTACACGCAAGAGACCGAAGACTGAACACACACTCGCATCATTAGTAAAGAGAAAGAGCAGGTGAGGGAGAGAGAGGAGGAGGGGGCACGCAGAAAGAACCCATGCGCATATGTCTTGGAAGTCTTGCAAATTCACCAAAGTAGCCTAAAGTTCACCTCTTCCTCTCTTTTTTTATTTAAATTACACAACTTTCCCCAGGAAATTCTATCGTCTAGTTGGGCTATAACACGGAAAATAATGTTTTTTGTGATAACTGCACAGATTTTAATTCTGTGGGAGGAAAAATACAAAAAACATTGTTTTTCGGTTAGAGATTTTTCTTAACGTTAAGGATCCCAATTTCATTTAAACGTTCACACCCCTACGTACTGACGATGTCATCCTCCTGCTTTCTCAGGTCAGTCACCACCCCCCAGCCGCCGCCCACCATGTGACGTCACAGCGTGGCTGGACCCTGTGGCAGGAGATCACTATTGACAGCAAGTTCAGAGGGAAATACATTTCTGTCATGCCATTAGGTGAGCCCTGCATACACAGTACATGAATGTTCCTCCAATATGGTTACACATACAGAAGCATGTACCATATCTATTTCAAATCCAGTTGTGCCGTTTAAGATTAGGGAGGATGTTTTTTTAATGAGCATGGCCTTATTTCTATTACAGCATATTGGATGACTGTCATTCATATTCCATTCATCCAGCTCAATGTAACATTGATAGGTTTAGGCTCATGAGGTTGTTACAACCTACGAATGAAAGTTTACAATGTAGGTGCACAGGTCGAGAGAAAAATGTGAGTAATCAAGGTGACAGACAGTGACACATTCAATACCGCCTTGCACACGCTTGCCTGCATCTAGCTGATCAAGGGTGTAATCATTAGTTCAAACAGTTGCTAACGAGAGTTTCTATTGGACAAATTCAGGTATGTTTATCCCTGTTTCCTTCTGTTTAAGAAAGGTTTTTCAACAGAATCGGCGGAATGAATACACCCCTGATCACCCGCAAACACAGTTCACTTTCATAGCAGCCACATACAAACAGCATGATCACTTTGCTCGTTATATAATTCCTTCTCACATCTACTCCTCTCACCTTTTCCCTTCACTTGTAGACTTCATTGCACAACACAACAGCTGTCTGTCTGCAAAAAAACCTTTCCAAGCCAAACCTTCATATCATAACCGCTAACCGCTACACACAGCCTACATCGTTGTGTCACCATATTAGCTAACGTCATAGTAAACATAGCTACTAGAACTAACGCGTTAGTAAACCCACTACAATCATGCAGTACAGTTTACAGCAAGCAGTTTAGCCGCTACACTGGTGGGCCCCATTGGCAATAAATTAATAAAACCAAAAGCTTACCTTGACTTGGAAGAGTTCCAGTGTTGGATAGCCGTAGCCAGTTAGCTAACATAGCATCCCTCTCTGTTTGAGCCAGGTGTTTGGCTAGGTTAAACTAGCTAGCTGCATTCCCTAGCTAAGTAAGTGAAAGTGTAAAAAATACAACTAAATATAGCTCTCTCTCTCTCTCTCTTGCTTCTCCTTCATTTTTAAAGAAATTAATTTGTCTTTCTCTCTCTTTGAGTCAACTACTCACCACATGTTATGTACTACAGTGCTAGCTAGCTATAGCTTATGCTTTCAGTACTAGTTTCATTCTCTGATCATTTGATTGGGTGGACAACATGTCAGTTCAAGCTGCAAGAGCTCTGATAGGTTGGAGGATGTCCTATGGAAGTTGTCATAATTACTGTGTAATTGAGCCTCCTAGGTTTTGTATTGAAGTCAATGTACCCAGAGGAGGACGAAAACTAGCTGTCCTCCAGCTAAACCATGGTGCTACCCTACAGATTGCTGTTGAGGCTACTGTAGACCTTTATTGCAAAACAGTGTGTTTTCATCAATTATTTGTGACATGAATATATTTAGCATAGTTTTTATTTTTATGAAATTCAATGAGGAGGATGGTCCATTCCTTCCTCCTCTGAGGAGCCTCCACTGGCTGATTATTTTAATGATCTCTTTCTCTCTAGGCTGCATCCACCTGCAATTCCACTCCAGTGGGAATCACTATGTGTGGGGCAAAGTCACCTCCACGGTGCACAACATCATAGTAGGCAAACTGTGGATTGACCAGGTGTGTCTTTCACATATTTAATGTGTGTTTGTATATTTGTGTTCGATCTGTTTGTCCATACTGTTTGTAGATGTGTGCGGTGTTGTGCAGAATCTACCCCGTGGTTTCTGCCATCCTCTGCGGTCTCTCATTATGTCTGTATGACTCATCAGATCTCCAATCTGTTTTCTCCCATCTGTCTCCATCCCTCCATGTACTGCTCTGGTATTCTCACTTTCAACAGTGTCCCGTATCATGATTAATGACATCCATAGTAAATGATTACAATAGACTGCTAACATTGATAAACTATACATATTTTGTAAGGCATGTTGTGGACAGTATGTCAATAATGGTAAAGCTAGGAGAGTCATCAGCCTGAGGCTTGGAATAAAATAGCCTGTGTTTTTCTCTCTGTAGTCTGGGGACATTGAAATAGTCAACCACAGGACCAAGGACACCTGCCACCTCAAGTTTGTTCCTTACAGTTACTTCTCCAGAGACCTCCCACGCAAGGTAACTCTATGGTTTGCCCTGTGTCCTCTGGGTCTCTGTCATATATAAACAAACTGGCAGTCCTTACCATCCTCAATGTCTCCTCCCTCTTCTGGTGTTGTGTCTATAGGTGACAGGTGTGGTAGCAGACAGCGAGGGCACAGCCCACCACATCCTGTCTGGGACCTGGGACGAAAAGATGGAGAGCGCTAAGATAGTGGAAAGCAGCCGGGGATGTGGAGGGTCAGAGGGCAAACAGAAGACCGTCTACCAGACCCTCCAGCCCAAACTGCTGTGGAAGAAATACCCACTTCCGTAAGATCGGCCTGTCTGCATATTATGAAGTCAGCCTAATAGCACATAATGCACGCTAACCTATTTATACAAGTCATTTGATTCTTCTTGCATCCTCGCACCTCTTCTTACTTCCACCTCTCTACCCGTTGCTACTCGCCCTCTCCCTCTCTGTCCATCCTATCTGTCTCACCTCAGTTCCTTCTCTACTCCCCAGGGAGAATGCTGAGAACATGCACTTCTTCTCCTCCCTGGCCTTGACCTTGAATGAGCCCGAGGAGGGCGTGGCCCCCACTGACAGCCGCCTGAGGCCCGACCAACGGCTGATGGAGGCGGGGCTGTGGGACGAGGCCAACGTCCACAAACAGCGTCTGGAGGAACGACAGAGGCTGGAGAGAAGGAAGAGGGAGGCACAGGCCACACAAGCCCTGGAAGAAGGTGAGGTGGGGAGTGAAAGGACTAGATAAGACATGTCAAGAGAGATTACAGTATAGAAACTAGGAAGAGAAAGTGTGACAATTGTGATACTGTGTATGTCAGCAAAATGTTACCCATATTGAGGAATATCTGTGTATGTTTGTGTCTCTGACTCCTTAGGGCAAGACTTTGAGGGCTTCCAGCCACTGTGGTTCGAGAGGAGGACAGATGATTCAACGGGGGAGAGCACTTACGTGTACAGGGGTGGATACTGGGAGTCCAAAGACAGACAGGACTGGAGCCAATGCCCTGATATCTTCTAAGGCTCCGCCCCTGGGACTGTGACATCATCACTGGAGGGCCGAGCTGAGGGACTGATCGACAAGCAGAGGGAGGGTCCACATGCTGCAGACAAATGGAGATGTGGACAGCTCTTTGTCTGTGTATGTGTATTTGTGTGTGTTCGAGAAAGACAGAGCCCTCCATTGAGAACAATGTCAATTTCCCAAACTTCAAGAACTGAGATATACACATAATCTGACCCCCTCCCCGATGTAGTTCTCTAATCAAACATGCTCTGTATCATAACACCTGTGTGTTTCTCACTCACTGAGTGAGAGAATGAGTGAGTGAATGAGTGAGTGAGTGAGTGAGTGAGTGAGTGAGTGAGTGAGTGAGTGAGTGAGTGAGTGATTGTGTGTGTGCAACAGCGTGAGTGAAAGAGACAAATAGCTATTTATGAGAGAATATTTTGAGTGTGAGTGAAAGAGTTAGAAAATAGCTACTGCATGGAAAACCGTATTTATTTGAGCTGGTACAGTGAGGGAAAAAAGTATTTGATCCCCTGCTGATTTTGTACGTTTGCCCACTGACAAAGACATGATCAGTCTATAATTTTAATGGTAGGTTTATTTGAACAGTGAGAGACAGAATAACAACAAAAAAATCCAGAAAAACGCATGTCAAAAATGTTATAAATTGATTTGCATTTTAATGAGGGAAATAAGTATTTGACCCCTCTGTAAAACATGACTTATTACTTGGTGGCAAAACCCTTGTTGGCAATCACAGAGGTCAGACGTTTCTTGTATTTTGTCCCACTCCTCTTTGCAGATCTTCTCCAAGTCATTAAGGTTTCGAGGCTGACGTTTGGCAAATCGAACCTTCAGCTCCCTCCACAGATTTTCTATGGGATTAAGGTCTGGAGACTGGCTAGGCCACTCCAGGACCTTAATGTGCTTCTTCTTGAGCCACTCCTTTGTTGCCTTGGCCGTGTGTTTTGGGTCATTGTCATGCTGGAATACTTAATATTTTCAAAGCCCTGGCTGAGGGAAGGAGGTTCTCACCCAAGATTTGACGGTACATGGCCCCGTCCATCGTCCCTTTGATGCGGTGAAGTTGTCCTGTCCCCTTAGCAGAAAAAAACCCCCAAAGCATAATGTTTCCACCTCCATGTTTGACGGTGGGGATGGTGTTCTTGGGGTCATAGGCAGCATTCCTCCTCCTCCAAATACAGCGAGTTGAGTTGATGCCAAAGAGCTCCATTTTGGTCTCATCTGACCACAACACTTTCACCCAGGTCTCCTCTGAATCATTCAGATGTTCATTGGCAAACTTCAGACGGGCCTGTATATGTGCTTTCTTGAGCAGGGGGACCTTGCGGGCACTGCAGGATTTCAGTCCTTCACGGCGTAGTGTGTTACCAATTGTTTTCTTGGTGACTATGGTCCCAGCTGCCTTGAGATCATTGACAAGATCCTCCCGTGTAGTTCTGGGCTGATTCCTCACCGTTCTCAAGATCTTGCATGGAGCCCCAGGCAAAGGGAGATTGACAGTTATTTGGGGTTTCTCCATTTGCGAATAATCGCACCAACTGTTGTCACCTTCTCACCAAGCTGCTTGGCGATGGTCTTGTAGCCCATTCCAGCCTTGTGTAGGTCTACAATCTTGTCCCTGACATCCTTGGAGAGCTCTTTGGTCTTGGCCATGGTGGAGAGTTTAGAATCTGATTGATTGATTGCTTCTGTGGACAGGTGTCTTTTATACAGGTAACAAACTGAGATTAGGAGCACTCCCTTTAAGTGTGCTCCTAATCTCAGCTCGTTACCTGTATAAAAGACACCTGGGAGCCAGAAATCTTTCTGATTGAGAGGGGGTCAAATACTTATTTCCCTCATTAAAATGCAAATCAATTTATAAAAAATTTTACATGCGTTTTTCTGGATTTTTTTGTTGTTATTCTGTCTCTCACTGTTCAAATAAACCTACCATTAAAATTATAGACTGATCATTTCTTTGTCAGTGGGCAAACGTACAAAATCAGCAGGGGATCAAATACTTTTTTCCCTCACTGTATGTATGGTGGTGCCTGGTGCCCCATTGATCTGGTAATAAGGTAATAACTACCGTAAGTATATAATATTATACAGTAATAGGCAGAAGCCAGGGGGAAAGAGTTTGGGTTTTGGTGCTAGGATAGGATGTCCTGTTCCTCTGAGCTGGTTAGGAACAGAGTGTTCCTCCTGCTGGAGATATAGGGGCCTGCATTTATGTTGCACTGGCCAATAGGAATGCCAGGAGATAAAGCTCCCCCAGGTTTGTGTAACTGAAAGGTTATGAAACAAAAAGCTGCACATAGAAATAGAGTAACCAGAACAGACATGACTCTCTACTTCAAGTATCTCCAATATACTTTACATATCTATATGTAACATTATGTTTCCTTCCATGCAACAACTAGGCACTCCCCAGGTTTGTAACAAACTGTGCTTTTCTGTAGTGCATGAAAACACAGGTGTAGTGGACGCTGGTATCACTATGGGCACTTTTGATTTAAGATCTGTACGGACGTAATCTCGGAGACCCAGAACTAAAATCTATACCAGTTATGTTACGTGTGTCTGTCCACAAGAGATTAGTACAGACCACAAAGAAAGGGGAATTTTGAGGATGTAACAAGCTACCCACAATTATGATAATTTGTAAAATATATAGATTTTGTTCAAATGTCTTGATTTCTCAAATGTTGGTCATACAGTCGCTAGTGAAAGTCTACACAACCCCTTGCACAGTCTTCACATTTTGCTGCCTTAAAATGTAATCTCAAAAGGGAATACATTGGATTTCTTTCCTGCCGATCTACACAACCTATTCCACATTTTAAAGTTAAAGAAAATTCTATAAAAATGTCAAAATTAATACAAAATAAAAAACAAAGACGTCTTGATTGCGTATGTCTTTACACCCCAGAGTTAATGCTTGGTGGAAGCACCTTTGGTAGCCACTTTGCACAAATCTTAGGACAACATTTATCCATTGTTTTTGTCAAAATTGCTCAAGCTCAATACATTTGGGTGGGAGTCGTTGATGGACAGCAATATTCAAACCTCTGATTTTCAAGCAAATTTAAATCAGGAATGAGGCTAGACCATTCAGGAACACTCAACACCTCTTAGAAAGCCATTATGGTGTCTTTGACATTTTAAATTGTATAATTGTCCCACTGAATAATAATAACATTATATCCTAGGGTTAGCTTTTCAGAAGACTGAGGTGGGTTTTCCTCTAAATTTTTACCTGGGCTTTGCTCCTTTCCTATTTTTTATCCTGACAAACTCCCCAGTCCCTGCCGGTGACAAGCATATCAATAACATTATGCTTCCACCACAATACTTGAAAGAAACGGAGGGTTTCACTCTGTGTTGTGTTGTACTGGATTTGACCCAAGCCTGTAGTTTTTAATCTAGGCCAAAAATTCAAATTCTTTGCCGTGTTGTCTTGCAGTATTACTTAACAGCCTTGTTGCAAACAGAATGGATGATTTGGAGTGGATTTTTAAAAACAGGCTTCATTCTTTTCCCTTTGTCATACAGGTCAGTAATGTGGAGTGAATGCAATGTTGTTGATCCCTTTGTATTTTCAAGTATTGTGGTGGCAGCATCATGTTATGGGTATGCTTGTAACTGGCATGGACTGAGGAGTTTGTCAGGATTTTTTTACAAAAAATGAAAGGAGCAAAGCCCAGATAAAAAGTTAGAAGAAACCTTGCCTCAGTCTTCTGAATACCTAAACCTGGGATAGTTTACTTTTCAGCTGAACAATTACACAAATGTTAATGGGAAAGAGAAACCAGATCGGCTTTCCAATTGGTGTTGAGTGTTCCTGAATGGTCCAGTCTCAGTCCTGACTTAATTATGCTTAAAAATGTAAGACAAGGTTTGAATATTGCTGTTCATCCAATGACTCCCAACCAAATGTACTGAGCTGGAGCCATTTGGACAAACACTATGGATATATGTTGCTCTAATAGTTGTGCAAAATTGATATAATCTTATTCAAAATGTTTCACAGCTGTAATGGCTGCCAAAGGAGCTTCCACCATAATTTTCCTTTAACTTTGGAAATGTGAAGTAGGCTGTGTACATCAGTAGAACCAAAAATCATTATTATATGTATTTTAAGGCAGCAAAATGTGAAGAGTGTTCAAGTGGTGTGTAGACTTGTTTTATTGTCTAGTGTCTACAGACAAAATCCTAAATCTTAACAAAATCTTTAATTGTTTCATGATTCCTCCCTGTGCAATGAAAGTCTTATATTTTTTTTACAATATTAAGAAATCATATGAATTATACTATAAGGTGTAATGGCGAGTTTCATGGTGCAATTGAGGTGTGTAATTCAATTATTACACATCTTTGTGTTTGACTGCAGGCATTTAAACATGCACCATCAATGAACGCAAACGAGTGTTGTGGCACCACGTGTAGCTCATGCATGGTTTAGTGAGCTTGTGCACTGTTACCTAGTATTAATTAGGCATTAATTAGTATCAATTAGTTGTTTCTAGACTTCATTCACAGAAGAACATCATGTGAATTCAACTCCTGTGCCCTAGGTCTTCAGAAATATAAATTTATTAGCTCAAACAAACACATAAAGCATCTCAATGTAGTCTTTCAAACACTCACAATGTCGTTAGAGATAGTCTGTAATGCTGTAATCGGCTTTGGTGTCAGTTCTCAACTCAAGACAAAGATGAGAAGTAAATGAGACAAGCCTAAGGAAGGATGATGTCCCCTGAAGACCCAAAGCCGAGAGGAGATTTCCACTGGGACCGTCTGTCTGATCTGGGCTTGCTGGTTGGATGAAGGAGCAGCAGAAGCCCTGGGGTCTCATGATGGGGTATTGAAAGGACACTGAGGGCTGCACACTCCACTTTAGGCTACTCGTTTGATGTCACCTTGTCTCTAGCACACACATGTATTCAAGGTGTAACACTCAATAAACACAAATAAATCTACGTATGAGCACTTTATTGGCTAAT